CAAAACTTATATGATCATCCGAATCTCCTTAAATTGTCATTTGACACAATTGCACACATGTTAGTTTGAAGTAAACAAAAATTGAATATTACCACAAAAAAGCTCATGGCCAGTTACAATAAGAATCACACCAACAGACATATTTTTTTTATTATTTAAAGATGGGTTTCCTTATGTTTTAGTGTCAAATTAAGCAAACTATTTGATCAATTGGTGTTTCTAATGAATTATCCTGTATTCTTAATCATACCATTATGTTCTTATTGCATATAATAGAGAGTTTTAACCAATCATTAATGTCCATGTATGTACAGTCTGGATAAACAAAAAAAGACTTTTTTTTATGAAATTATGAAATAATTATTGACATGTGGGACAAACTGGTATTGAGAACATCTCTTCTTTCCGTTCACTTAAGTATTAATGAAAATAAGGGAACCCATCTTTAAAGATTATAATGCAAACCTGATTAAAAGGACATCTGATAAGTTGAAAACTCCCAGTACGGTTATAATATACGATTTAACCTCTTTTCTAAATACACATGCACTGCGAATACATAGTTCGATTATATGTAACAGGACATAATGTAAACACTGACTGAAGCAGTATAACTAACTGATGATTCACAGATTCACATTAGCTCTGTGATTGGGTTTGTCGACACGGCATGCCAACGATATTGGTAAATAACACTTGCCACAGACTTGCAGGAGCTGCATGATTCATTATGAAACAGTATACATTAACAAACCAAATAGAACGTGATATATTAACAATTAACTCACATGGTGTTAATAGGCCAAATACTATTTACTCAAAGTGTTTACTCCTATGAGTGTATTAATGTCCTTTTATTCCAGAGGCTTTCAACGCGTGGGTATTTACCCCGAAGGGAATAATTTTGGGGACAATTATATTCTAAGTTCTTCTATTAATTCTGGCAATATTCTCCGGTATGAAAAAGATTGCAAGGAAAACCTAGTAGAAAATAACAAAATAGTAAAGATTTATAGGGGGAAGGGGAGTAATGCAATCGATCAAAGATCCCAAATGGTGTAATAGAAGGAAAAAGGTTGAAAACCCCTGTTTTATTCACATAATCTAGTATGAAATATCTATCGTAGTATTGACTATACCGAGAGCATAATATAAGGAAGCAAATTATTTGTTGTTAGACGACATCATCCCTAATCATCTACATGCATAATATGTTCTTCGAGATATTCACTCTTGAAATATTTTGACGAAGTGATGGCGTTGGTAGTCCCATAAATGTTGGTAACATGCATTGAAAAAGGTGAAAGATACGTTATTTCACCATGTACATTCCAGTCACTTGAAATAGATGCTTAATGTCACTACATCGGATTTCTTGCAGGAAGCTGTCCAATGCCTCACCAGGTAATGTGCTATCTTCCTCGACGAGACAGATGTTCATCGGATGCGAACTGTGAAGGCAGAAGTAAATGTTGCAGTCACCCTTGTGGTCGAATTTGTGTACCACCAACGTCACTGACTCCAACTGACTCAAGGCAGAATTTGATGGCACCTTCGTTATGGCCATCGTGGACGTTTCCCTCAAGAATCTTAAACGGTAGGTGGACGTAGTATACGTGTATACGAATTTGTCCTTCCAGTAGAACAAATTCTTGTATTATAATCTTGATACTGGCAATTCTTAACCATATGGGATTTGGGAGAATCAAAGCCTCCCATTCCAGAAATCTAATTACTATAGCAATTTCAAGACATGCAGAAAAATTAACCCCAAGTAGTAATTAACCACAGTGAGAAAAACATAAACCATTATACGGCATTAAATTATTTGAATGAATCCGTGCTATTTCAGCTCACATAATACGTTTACTCGTAAGTCGCATTAGACTTTGGATTATAAATTTGCTTCTATTGCTATTAAAAAGGAGAAAAGGAAAACTCCTAAGCTTGCCTCTTTAATGCATTTAAACAGGGACTGATTGTTGAATAGCATTATGTGAAGATAGTCATCATCATCCACAGGATGTCCTTAATATCCACTTGAAACAAATTAAAGTTGGGAACAAAATATATAATATCTCTTAGCAACATAGAACATTGAAATCAAATATATGTATTAGAACATCTTCGGGGAGTTGCTAAGAATTACTGTAATGAGTAATGGTAAGCAAGTGTATGCCAAACCGTCAATCATAAATAACTGTACATAAAAAAAAAATAAATAAATAAAATGAATTATTTCCCTTTGAAATTCATTAATAATTCTTTTATTCCACTCGAATCTAGTTTTCCTTTCTGGATTTATGAATCTACATACATTGCAAATGCAGTTTAATGCATGTGTCAGATGTAATATTATGTTGTTTTTTTAATAGAAATTCTGCTTTTATCGTATAAGATATAGTCTTATAATGCACCAGAATAAACCAAGGTGAATAGAACAGATCAAATTCTACCACCTTGTTATTTGACGAATTTGTTGCATAGGCACTAATTCGAAGGTTTCGATGCAGTTTATGAATTTTCCAGTTCCTATAAAATAATCTATAAAATGAAGATTGAATTAAGATTCGTTCGTTAAAATCGTGGACGTTGCCGCACTTATTTAGTAAAGATTCTATTTTTTCAACTGGTATTGTGACTGGTTGAGGAATATAGTCGTCGTGAATTTTAGTGTTAAATGAGTGCAGCTTTTTATATTCTAACCATATTTGCACTTTTGAGTGAAATTTACACAAGGATCAAACGTACATGTACTAAGAAAACTGTGACAAAGCCAAGCTGATGTCATAACCAATGATTTCGATGTAAACAGCATAATAAATGTATATCCGGTTCGAATATTTTATATAAAAGGATGGTTGGAAAACAAAAGTTACGCTAAATAAAAGAAGTTAACTGATTCGTCGTATATTTTACTAAAATGAAGTTGTTCATTCTAACTTTAGCTGTGTTTACAGGTAATTATAATTTTTAAATTCTAAATTTTATTTATTTTTACTCATTTCGACATGAAGCGAAGGAGTTTACATTTTTTTCGCATTAGGAATTTTTCGCGTTTTTTTCCGAACGATATGGTCTTATTTTGGTTATAATGGTACGTATTAAATTTGCTAACATTGTTATGGCATAATATATAAGACATAATAAGTATTTCGATTTGTGTTCATTAAGAGAAATGAGAGCAATGCAAAAATGATTATAGAAAAGTATATCATACTGACAACTGAAATTAAGATTGATTTACTTAGATCACAACAAGGCAACTCCCCCATTGTTTCTCATAAGATTTTCCCAAAATGTTCATAGTTCCTCGTCGGGGTTGCTGCTGTTCCGTGTAGAAAGGCAAAAGAAACGTCATGTGGATGTATCATAATTATAACTGCATTTGCAAATGGTTATATTATATTCGTCAAGACATGAAATTTAAGGCACCAAATAGAGCCGGTAGAACGTTCAATGAGTTGAACCACGAGACGTGTAACTTCTAATGTCTGTTAAGTTTATCAGTATTTTCAGAAGTGACGTTTCTTTTGCCTTTCAGTATATATTGTAAAGAAGTTAGGATATCAAACACTGTGTAATGGTATTTTTCTTAATCCTTCACACAGATTCATTATCATGCCATTCACTGTGTATTTTTTTTTATATTACAGTTGTATCTGAAGCCCTCCTGCCAGGTAAAATATTTTAGCAATTTATTTACACAACATATTCTCGTTGCATTCAAAATGAAACATAAATGAGTTAGTGTGGTTGTAAAAACAAAAAACGCAGAATGCCAATGCGTGACCGATCAAGAAAGATCAAAAAGTCTTTTTTTGTTTATCCAGACTTTACATACATAAACATTTATCATTGGCTAAAACTCTTAATTATATGCATAATGATATGATTAAGAATACATGATAATTCATTAGAAACACCACTTAATCAAATAGTTTGCTTAATTTGACACTAAAAGATATGGAAACCCATCTTTAAAGATAAACAATTGAATCAACAGATTGCTTTAGTTATGATATTAAAGTATAACAAACTTTTTTTTTTAATTCTAGCTCCATTTTTAAAACCAGGTAAGATAAATTACTTCTAATTGCATATTCATTGATAATTACAAAGTTTTTTGGATTTATCGGATTATATAAGGATCCTGTTATTTATGACACCAATCTTATTGGACAAGTTTAACATTCTTAAATTTAATCTTCATTCTAAGACGTAGTATTCCTTTAAAGTTCCAAGGTGTAATCCTTTCAAATCGTATAGTCATGATGTGTTTCGAGGAGAGACTTAGAATGTTTTAACCTGATCCCGTGACACATGGTAGTAAGCCTACTGAAGTAATTTTTTTATGAAATAGTTTCCATCGTATGGCGCGCAAGTGTATTCACTAATAAACGTATTTCAAAGCCGACACAGCACTATACTCTTGATTCTTTTTAGGCGCATGTCCCATGCAACGACGATTGAGATGCTACCGAGTACGTAACCGCTGCAGAACAGATTCTTCATGTTCTGGATCTATGAAATGTTGTCAACACCCATGTGGAAAACGTTGTACTTCTCCACTACCCGAACTTATTGACCAAGAGCTCCCTCACGGTATGTTTTATTCTTGAAATAGTGGAAGAAAACGAAAGGGACAATTCACAACTGTTTTTCTTTTTCTTTTCACCAAAAAGGTGAATACTAAAAGTTGTTCTCAAAATCCTTTTTGCATTGTTTCTTAAACCAAAAGAAGAAAGATTCATGAAAACGGGAGGTTACGAAATGTCATAATCTCGTTGAAGATTATAAAGACAAAGGGTTCCAAATTTCATGGGAATTGTTTTGTCAATATTCATTATCATTTCGTTCCCTCAATCACTTACACATGTTATTGCATTTACATATGTTTATCTATTTACACGTGGTTTTCTATTTACACGTGGTTTTCTATTTACACGTGGTTTTCTATTTACACGTGGTTTTTCATTTACACATGTTTTTTGTCCGTTTACACATGGTTTTCTTTTTACACGTGGTTTTCCATTTACACAATATGTTTTTTTTCAATTTACGCATGGTTTTCTATTTACACGTGGTTTTTCATTTACACATGTTTTTTGTCCGTTTACACATGGTTTTCTTTTTACACGTGGTTTTCCATTTACACAATATGTTTTTTTTCAATTTACGCATGGTTTTCTATTTACACGTGGTTTTCCATTTACACATGGTTTTCCATTTACACATGGTTTTTGGGGGAGGAGTAGATGCCACAGAATTGTCAATGGGGGCTACCCCTACCCCCTGTAAAAGCGCCACTGATTGAATTACATTTAGTTCCTTAGTTGCAACAATCCCATGTTAGAAATATATGATAATTTTGATTTTATATTTTTTAGTTTCAGTTTGTTCAAAAAATCCATGTGGTAATCTACAGATTAAGTGTCAGTTTGGACAAGAGAGAGATTCAAACGGATGTTTGTTATGTAAATGTAAGAACATATTTTCTTTATATTCTCTCACTTCACAAACTTCCAAATTTTGAAGCATCTATAATAATATAGCATATAGCATCTATTGTATCAATATTTTAAATACTGAATATATTTTCTTTTAGGTCGTAATCCCACTTTGAATCCACCATTATGTCCTCCTGCACAGATGGTTAACTGCTTAGTTGAACCATGTCGTTCGGCAACTTGTAGTAATCCTGATGCACATACATGCATGTAAGTATAAATTTATACAATATTCAAAATGTCTCGATGTTTTAGAAGCATTAAATGGTTACTGATTTATGAAGAGTAATCTGAATCTACGGACAAGGTCATAGTTATTATGAATTTGTGATTCGAATCCTCTACGAACGGTGATTTGAATTGGAAAATGATATTCCACTGAAAATGCAAAAATAAATGACGCAATGTCTTTCAAATTAAAATCGTTCTTGACGGTTCTTCTGAAACTTTTTTTTCTTTCAGAGCCAACTATTGTAACTGTCAACCTGTGTTCTATGATTTTAACGGAAATGCAGTCACTTGTTAAGAAATTTCATAAATCATGTTTTTATAATAAAATGTTGTTTTCCTGTTATTTTGTATTATTTGGTATTGGGACTGGGCATACTTTCTCAAACAATCGTTCCAAAGGTCTAGCGAGGCAGATGACCCTTCTGATAGAACTAAAACTCTTAGTGACTTCATTAGAAGCCATAAGTATGTTTACAAACTCTTTTCTTGATGCTTCTTATACTCTACATATTATTCTGAACGTTGTTCTTTAGTCTAGTTGGACTTCAAGTGAATAAATGTACTAAAAATGTATAAAAATCGCATAATCCCTTCAAAAATACCTCGAACTAGAAATTTAACTTTCTAATCCTATATGTCTTATATATATATATGGATAATTCTGGACACTCATCGATTTGAAGGCTCAAATTTAGACGGTAAGCTGTGTAGCTTAGCCGCCAAACGATCGCTAACCTGTCCCTTTAAAAAAAACTAAGATAGATTGGGGTCAAAATGACGATAATAAACCCATTCCGTTTTCACTTTCTGAACTAGTACAAACCGATGTCATAACAAATTAATTATAATGGCATAATAAATGTATATCCGGTTCAAATTGGGTATTTAATGAAATGGGTGAAAATAGAAAAGTATAACTAATTTAGAAAAGTTATAGGATTCGTCGTTTATATTACTAAAATGAAGTTGTTCATTCTAACTTTAGCTGTTTTTACAGGTAATTGTAATATCTTTTTTTAAATTTGTTTCTAAGGGTGCCCATTCACCATAGTGATTACCAGTTGCCTGTGGTTGCGAATAATGAAGTCCTTTGCATTGCATGAGAGTTTATGAGCACTATTCCCATTCGTAACTGGTGATAACTATGATGCGAGGGCCACTTTAGATAAGACTGCGATATTTTATTCATTGGGCCATGGGGCTTTCAGTTTCCTTGCATCGGGAATCTTTGCGCGTATCTTCTTACGATGTTTGATAATTTTGTACGTTTTAAATTTTGCTAATATTGATTTGGACATAACACTTTCTATTTCGTAGTTTACTATTTAGTGCCCTGCGATAAAAATAACAAAACGTTCCGTTTCCCTTTTTGTCTGTTAGTGTAAATTGATAGCAATGCAAAGAATACTATTGAATATATACTTTACGCGGTTAAATATGATCATCATAATTATGAATCTTAGAGTCTAAGTCAGGAAATATTTCTTCATCAAGATTAATTACCATGTCATTCACTGTATTTTTGTATATTACAGTTGTATATGGAGCCCGCGTGCCAGGTAAAATACTTTATTACATACATGTCTAACTTAATATATCAATACAAAGAGATTCACTATCATATAGTAATTATATCCATGTAGTCGTAATATATTGAAAACGGTCGGAACTATGTTCTATTCTGACTGACATCAATGAATTGCATTACCATTAAATCATCCAAATAGTTAGTAACAGTTACGATTTGATCAGAGTTCAGCCTATTTCCCGATGGGTGTAACTCTCCCAACTTTCACAGTTGGGTCAGAAAAGATCTAAAAAAAAAACTAGGCTAAATTTCCGGTTCGCAACACGTAGATTCATAGTTCCTTTTGTACTTGATCTCAAACATTCAAACATTTTTCTTTTATTGCACCAATAGTTTTTCCTATAGGATTATGTCCCCCTGGAGAGATTGTTAACTGCTTCGTTGAGCCATGTCGTTTCGCAACTTGTAGTAACCCTGATGCACATGAATGCATGTAAGTATAATTCATCTTTTCAAAATGTCCCTTAGTTTGAAGCAATGAAGGGTTCCCCAGAAAAGTATCAGCGCAATTTAAAATAAATTAAAATTTAATCTAAAATAAAACTACGCAGATAATTGCGAAAAGGAAGCTATCACTTTGCAACAGGGTACATAGAATATAGTGTTTTCTAGTGTTGTTTGATGAAAAGGCAATAATCAACTGAAAATGTAGGAATAAATGCCGCAATATCTTCCAATTCAGATGGTTCTCCTGAAAATTCTTTTCTTTCAGATCTAATTATTGTGGTGGCTGCAATGCTGTGTTCTATGATGTTAACGGAAATGTTGTCAATTGTTAAAATTATTAATATTTTATTTAAACATGAATAATAAATAACATGTCATTTCCTGTTATTTTCATATTTTAGTGGATTTAAACTTGGAAATATAATCGGGCGTCCTTAATCAAACAATTGTGATGGTTTCTGAGAATTTAGTGATGTAGACGACCCTTCTGACACAACTGGCAATGAATATTTTCAGCTATCCATAACGCTATGACCAGCAACCGGCATGTTCACGTCAAATTTACCCCCTCTCCCTGATACTCTATATTACATTGGAAAATGCAAAATCCTTTTTCATCCGACCATGTGACGTTTGGGTCAAGGATTTCGGAAAACGTATTGTTTGTAAAATGACACCAGAGGGCCAAATCCGAAATCCCATCTTCACGTTTATGAATTACATGCAATAAACAAATAAGGCACATTTTGTGACATGTACTAAGAGCACTTGGCGGTATGGACGTAATCAGAGACTTTTATGATGAATACAGTATATCTTGTTCTTGAATGTATTTTGTATTTCCACTCGAATCTAGTTTTCTATTTTGATTTATGAATCTACTTATATTGCATACGCATCGAATGCATGTGTCAGATATTAGACCAGGTTTTTTTTATAGTAATTATTTTTTTTATCATAACGACAGAATTGTTTTTTTATGCATCAGAAAAAACTGAGGTGAATAGAAGAGATCAAATTCTACCACCTTGTTATTTGACGAATTTGTTGCATAGGCAATAATTCGAAGATACGTTCATAAAAATCATTAAAGTTTACGCATTTATTTTAGTATACAGTAGAATTGGATTGGATTATATTTTTTCAAATTGTATAACTTGTTGAATATAATAGATTTTAGTGTGAAATTGGTGCACTATTCTGGTCATAGTGGTAAAACATTCGCACTTTCGAGTGAAAATCAAACAAGGATCACTTCAATTAAACGTACATGTACTAAGAAAACTATGATAGATTGATTGAAAATTAAAAAAAAAAAACAACTGATGTCATAACCAATCGATGTAAACAGCATAATAAACGTATGTCCGGTTCGAATATTCTATATAAAAGGATGGTTGAAAATAGTAAATTATAACTAAATAAGAGAAGCTAACTGATTCGTCGTATATATTGCTAAAATGTTGTTGTATATTCTAACTCTAGCTGTTTTCCCAGGTAATCAAAATTTAATTTATTTTATATATTTCGATATGAAGCGAATAATCTTCAATTTTCTCAAATTTGCAATATTTTTTTAGAAAAATATTTGATACTGACAACTGAAAATAATTGAAAATGTGTTGTTCATAATCAGATTTCTCATAAAGTTTGATTTTCGATTTTCATATATAGTTACTTTCTCATTGGTTGTTACTGTTCCGGGTAGATACATAGATTAACTGTATATATTATATTGTAAAGAAGTTATGATACCAAGCAATGTGTAATGTTATTTGTATAATCCTTCAAACAGATTCATTACCATGACATTCACTGTATTTTTTTTTTATATTTCAGTTGTATCTGCAGCCATCCTGCAAGGTAAAATTTTTTATCAAATTCATTTTCACAAAATTTCGTCGGTGCATTTTAAAATGAAACCACAAGTTTTAAGAGAGGTTGTTAAAACAAAATGTGATTGAATTACGAAAACACGGGCCAAGGCTTATTGTTTCGTTCAGAAAAAGAAACCAGCCTAAAAAATTAAACCAAACTTTCGTTTCTTTTTTTATTAGCTTTTTTGATAGCTAATAAAAACGGATCGAAAGATTGGTATAATTTCAATTAGACTGAAAAAGAATCTTAACTTCACAAGAATGAATATTCGGTACTGGAGAGTTATGATATCTTGTTACTGACTCGCAAAACAAAAGTCTTGCATTTTGATCAAATAAACCAAATTAGGTTGCACAGGTTTACTAAAAGATAAACAATTGAATCAAGAGGCTGATTTAGTTGGTTGAATTACATGATTAATGTATACTGTATGTATAATTTTTTCATTTTAGGTCCATATTTTAAACCAGGTAAGATAAATTACTTCTTTAGAAAAAAAAGCTTTAAATTATAGCCACAATATAAGTAAATTATCAATATATTAATAACCCAATAGGAACTAAATGAAAAAGTTTTTCCAAGTTATCACTTGATGTCGCTCAATAACACATACGCTGGCCAAATTATGCAAATTCCCTGTAAAAACACTAGACGTTGAATTCAATAATTACAAAATTTATAGTGACCAATGTCACAAGGTGTAATCCTTTCCAATTGTGTAGTCGTGTGTTTCGGGGATAGAGTTAAAAAGTTTTTACCTGAGCTCACCATATTATAGTACTGAAGTAATTAGTTTAAAATAGTTTCTATCCTCTTGCGCACAAGTTTAATCACTTAAAAGCGTATTTCAAAGTCGATACAGTATAGCATACCAAGTATATTCTTTTATGTTTATGTATAACTAAAATTAGAATTGACATGCTACCGAATACGTGACCGCTGTACAACAGATTTTTCATGTCCTGGATCTTTGAAATGTTGTCAACAACCATGTGGAAAACGTTGTACTGCTCCACAACCGAAACTTATTGACCACGTGCTCCCTGACGGTATGTTTTATTTTTGTGGTAAAAGAAGTTGAAAGGGCCAATTCACAACTGTTTTTTCTATTAATTTCATAAAATTCCGTCATCAAAATTAATATTAAGTGGCTAAAAATTTCACCAGAAAGGTGAATACTAAAAGTTTTCTCAAAATCATGAAAACGGGAGGGTCAAAGGGATTTATCTCATTTTCATTATGAAGTGCCATTATCTCAATAGATAATAGATGGCAAAGGGCTCCAAATTTCATGAGAAACACCGATAGATTTTGTAAATATTCATTTCCATTTTGTTCCTTCAATCACTTAAACATATGTTTCTATTTACACATGGTTTTCCATTTACATATGGTTACCTATTTACACGTGGTTTTCTATTTACACGTGGTTTTCCATTTACACATGGTTTTCCATTTACACATGGTTTTCCATTTACACATGGTTGTCACTCATTGCTACATCATAAAACTTCATGACATTGATAGCAACATCGATATGCCAATTACAACATGTTATTTTACTTTGCAGGTTGTCCGCCAATTGACCTGTTTGGCAATGAAAATTGTGATACACTAACCTCACCTTTTCCAAATTGTATAAATGACGGCGATTGTTCACCAACAGAACAATGTTGTCCAGGAACATGTGGCAAGAATTGTCTTCCCAAACGGCGCGGTAAGCTCTAATTGTTCCATCTCATAGTGTGATACAAAAATAAATCGACTCACATTCAGAAGGTTGCTGTAAGATCGAATTGGCATCCTATATTCAGGAGTCGAAAAAATCAGCTAAAAGTTTATTTTAAAATAATCATTGAGATTGGAATGTAATGAATATAATTTTCATATTTTCAGTTTGTTCAAAAAATCCATGTGGTAATCTACAGATTAAGTGTCAGTTTGGACAAGAGAGAGATTCAAACGGATGTTTGTTATGTAAATGTAAGAACATATTTTCTTTATATTCTCTCACTTCACAAACTTCCAAATTTTGAAGTATCTATAATAATATAGCATATAGCATCTATTGTATCAATATTTTAAACACTGAATATATTTTCTTTTAGGTCGTAATCCCACTTTGAACCCACCATTATGTCCTCCTGCACAGATGGTTAACTGCTTAGTTGAACCATGTCGTTCGGCAACTTGTAGTAACCCTGATGCACATACGTGCTTGTAAGTATAAATTTATAAAATATTCAAAATGTCTCGCTAGAAGCATTAAATGGTTACTGATTTATAAAGAGTAATCTGAACCTTTGCACAAGGTCATAGTTATAAAAGGGGTAGATGATTTGAATTAAAATCTTTCTTCTGAAACTTCTTTTTTTTTCTTTCAGAGCCAACTATTGTAACTGTCAACCTGTGTTCTATGATTTTAACGGAAATGCGGTCAATTGTTAAGAAATTTCATAAATCATATTTATATTATAAATAAAATGCTTCTGACGTTCAACGAAGCAGAATAAAAAGACCTTTCTGAATAATTTGCTTATTACTTATATACTACCAGACAGGTTACAGTTACAGGTGTATCCATTCCAAAATTACACGATTGTAACCGGCAAATACACACAAAGGTTTTACCCAAATCCCAGTTAGATGATATAATACATTGTGAAAATTATCAAAGCCATTTTTGCCATGTGGTATGTCAACAGGGATGCGTACAAACCCATTTACATCGGGTTTTCGAGCAGAATGCACTGCTGAGCCAACGACATCCATTATAAAAAAGTATGATAAAAAAAGCATAGTAAAAGTTAACCCAGGAACAAATTGCAACGGAACATGTCATTTAGTTATAAAACACGAAAGGATACATTGAAACAGAACTACCAATTGATTAATATAAAAAGGAATCTATTCAAAATGACTTCATGTCGCGACAAAATGCAGAAACACAATCCCCAACAGGACAGGGAAATAGGAATAACTCTTTCATTTTGGCGCTTGATAAAAGTAGAACGGTTCACTAAGCATGGTTAAATTGACTCGTCTTGGGCTATCAGTAGAGGGCTATTGTTCTTTCAAATGATCAATTGAAATAATTTCTTGAATAAAGTAGGGCTTTTGGTAAATATTTTTTCATTTCATACATATATAAATACGAGAAAATACTGAATCATTTCTGTCGATGAGTATTCACCAAACACTGTAAAGAGTAAACGCTAATTTATATGTTGTATTCTCAGAGACTGCTGAAAAAGTCTTTAAACTGCATGGAAGCCAAAAACGTGTACATAAACTGACGCCTTTCTGATGCCTTATGATTATTAGACTATAATTCTGGGTAAAACAGCACTGAAACTGCGAAGACACGATTTTGAAGAGACTAGACAATTCGATACAAATTTTCTGTGTTGAAACCCAATACATGACCTTTTTGAACTAGTTGATGTCATAACAAGTTAATAACAGTAGCATAATAAATGTATATCCGGTTCGAATCGGGTATATAAAGCGATAAATGAAAATCAACTATTTAAGAAAAGCAAACTGATTCGTCATTTATATTGCTAAAATGAAGTTGTTCATTCTAACTTTAGCTGTTTTTACAGGTAATCGCATTTTATTTTTATAAATCTGTTTCTAATGGTGTCCTTACACCATAGCGATTACCAGTTGCGTGTGGTTGCGAATATTGTCCCAACGCAGCTGACAACTCAGTTGCATGAGAGTTAAATGAGCACTATTCCCATTCGCAACTTGTGATCACTATCGTGTAAGGGACACTTACACTTAGATAAGAGTGTGATATTTTATTAATTGTGGCATGAAGCTTCCTTACATCAGGAACCTTTGTGCGTATCTTCTTACGATGTGGAATTATTTTTGTACGTTTTAATAAGCTAACATTAATTTTGACATATCACTTTCTATTTCGTAGTTTACTATTTAGTGCCCTGCGATAAAATTAACAAAACGTTCTGTAGCCTTTTTTCTATTTGTGTAAATTGACAGTAATGCAAAGAATACTATTAGATATATACTTTACGCGGTTAAATATGATCATCATAATCATGGAGCTCTAAATCAGATTCATTACCATGCCATTCACTGTATTTTTGTATATTGCAGTTGTATCAGGAGCCCTCGTGCCAGGTAAAATACTTTATTACATACATGTCTAACATACTATACGATTCAAAGAGATTCACAATTAAGGTTCATGTGATAATTGTATCCAATTGTCGTAATATATAGAAAACGGTCGGAACTATGTTCTCTACTGGCGTCATTTAATTGCATAACCCTTAAGCCATCCAAACACCAGTAGACTAAAAATTTCCACAAGCGTTATTTACAGATTTGACCAGAGTTTAGCGAATTTCCCGGTGGATGTAATATTCCCGAACTCTCCCAAATGTCCGAATTGTGTCAGAAAAGATCTAAATCTAGGCTAAATTTCCGATTTCCAACACGTAGATTCATTATTCCTATTGTTCATGACGTTCCCTCAGTTCTCAGACATTCTTTTATCGCACTAATATGTTTTCATATAGGATCATGTCCCCCTGGAGAGATGGTTCACTGCTTCGTTGATCCATGTCGTTTCGCAACTTGTAGTAACCCTGATGCACATAAATGCGTGTAAGTATAATTCATCTTTACAAAATGTCCCTTAGTTTGTTATTGAAGCAATGAAAGGTTCCCCAGAAAAGTATCAGCGCAATTTAAAATAAATTAAAATGTAATCTAAACTAAAAACTACGTAGATAATTGCGAAAAGGAAGCAATCACTTTGCAACAGGGTACATAGAATATAGTAAATTGTTTAGTATTGTTTGATGAAAGGCAATAATTAACTGAAAATGTAGAAATAAGTGCCGCAATATCTTCCAATTCAGATGGTTCTCCTGAAAATTCTTTTTCTTTCAGATCTAATTATTGTGGTGGCTGCAATGCTGTGTTCTATGATGTTAACGGAAATATTGTCAATTGTTAAAATTATTAATATTTTCTTTAAACATGAATAATAAATAACATGTCATTTCCTGTTATTTTCATATTTTAGTGGATTTAAACTTGGAAATATAATCGGGCGTCCTATATCAAACAATCGTGATGGTTTCTGAGAATTTAGAGAGGCAGAATAAGATAACCTTTCTGACACAACTCTCATTGAATATTTTCAGATATCCATAACGCTATGACCAGCATGTTCACGTGAAATTTCTCCGCGCTACTTGATACGATATCTCAGAATAGATGCACTTAGATAACCCATTAGCACCCGGTTTTCGTCCAGCTCACGACATCCGCCATAGAAATTAAGATATGACTCAAATTGCAATGTCTCAATTTAGTTTTGTCACAACATAAGGTTCTATAACACGATATAATGTATTGAATCAGAACGACCATTACGATTTAATGGGATCAATTAAAAATATATAGAGCCCATATCATGTCGCCACGTGTTGCAGATACACAATCTTCACCAAGAAGTCACTCAGGAGCATACATAGGGAAATATACTTCATATAAGGATCTAAAATCCAAGAAAATTTCTTCATTGAAATGATTTTATCGAATTCAATTTTTTTTGAAAGTTTTTTGTTGAAATATTACTTCATTATGTATATTCGTTATGAAACAATGAATTATTTCTGTCCAAAAATATTGCTGAAGTATTGATTATTAAACGCCTTCAGAAACATGAAAAAAGACTTTCAATTTGAAAATTATGTCTATTTTTCTCGGTACAACTGTACTGAAGCTATGAGAACAGGTGCACTAACAAAGAGAAGACACATATATACTAGTAAGAGGATGGGGCAAAATATTTGGTATATAAGAGCAAATTCAACATGTAAAATCCTTTTTCATCCGACCTTTGGGTCAAGGATTTCGGAAAACGTATTGCTTGTAAAATGACACCAGATGGCCAAATCCGAAATCCCATCTTCACGATTATGAGTACATGTACTAAGAGCACTTGGCAGTATGGACCTTGGTTCTTGAATGTATTTTGGGTCGAAAAACCCCAGTTATCATGGTGGGGCGTTGAACGTAACACCGTTATTGTCTGGCAGATGTACCCCATAGTTTGATGGGGTTTTAGGAAAGTGATCGCGAACCAATTTACCAGTTTTTCAGATCTAACCCAACATATCAGTTGGGAATCGAAATTTGTAAACAAGTTACATCGCCTTTACTTCCATTCCATTAGTTAAACAGGGAACAAAAACACTAGTATGAAAGTTTCATTTGCAGTTTTCACACTCTTGTAAATATACTGTCTGCAGTCAAGCACTCCACCATGTTTTGTAGGGTTACAAAAGTGGGAACGGCTTGTTATTGTTAAATTTTTATTCGGGATTGTGCCAGTAACTTATGTCCTGTGGTAAACTAGAGGATCGTCCCGGATTTCCTTGTATCTAGCTTTGAGGCTTTTGGCTTATGTCAGTTATTAAAATATAGCTCACGCGACATAAACATATTAATATATTTAAAATTAAAGTTATTGATATATGCATGATATCAATGTGATTAATATTTAACGAGAAATGAAATTGACTGGCAACGACAGGCAGAATGTGAGTAATGAGGACAATTTTCCAGGAGAGCAGAATCAGCTGAATTCGATTTCAAACTGTCGTGGGTTGGGTCTAGCATAACCTAGGGCAAAGGGGCCTCGAAAATGTTCACATCCGCTATGGAGGCTTTTCCAATGGCAGCCCGTCTCTGACCTGCATCGCTGACTAGATATTCATCATAAGGTATGCACCGAATTCAAAAGTTCTTTTATCTGTCACCACATGTTACATCATGAGTTGGTATTGTAATGCGCAGGTACTTGTTAACATGTATGCAAAGTTATTTATGAAATCAAAGGTTATTAATGAACATCTGTCAATGGATGTATTTGATAATTGCTTGTATGCATCACAGAACATGGAAGATAAATAAAATAACCTTGTATTTCCTTGATCTAAACCGAGCTAGGGTTCCAGCTACGCATGCCACGATTGGTCATTAGTAGCTGAACGTTAAAATTCTCTAAAAACAAAAGAATTCTAATCGAGTCACTATGTTCTGATACGATTTATTGTGCCCGTATTCAACCTGTTGTTGTCACGGTTCAGATACAATTGCACACTTTCGTATTGAGTCAAGATTGTGGCCCAATCTGACATTATCAGGTTCCCCGAATTCCCAGATGATCTTGTACGTGCAGATACGTTCATCAAGAATCGGTGCTCTAGGTTATGATAGGATACGATTGCTCATATTCAATTTGGTCACGATTGATCGATCTTCCGTCCAGATACAATCACACACTTTCCGCAATTGACGATGTGATCTACTTCGTTACAATGATAGACGATCGGATACCATGAACTCGATTGACAAAAATTCGGTAAGGATCATCACTATTTGTCCTGGAATATTTCATTCATGCTGTTTACGTGATAGTGGGAAACCAGCACGATATTTGCGTAAGTTACGATACAAAAACAAATGAGTAAACGAGCTGTGAACTGTGAACTCTCTGATTTAGACTGTTTATTGACCAATATCTCATACAAAAATCATTTGGACAAGTAACATTGAAATTGAATAGGCCAGTCATTGAAACACTTGACATTATTTTTACTGTGAAAAGAATAATTACTCCAGATGGTGAAGTGAAGAAAGTGAAGAAAAATTCCTTTGATTCACGTGACACGTACCTGCGTTGACTGACGTATGGTTAGAAATTGAACCATATTGGAGTGATGTGATGTCACAGCCAATGATTGACTGAGGTTTGATTGAAAATTGAGGTATATCCTGTTTAGAGTGCGAATATATAAGGCAATGAATGAAAACGCAATTCATTTTGGTTGAGAGGATTTCATAGTAAAATGAGGTTACTCATATTTACTTTGAGTTTGTTAGTAGCAGGTAGGCATACGTAAATTGAACTTCGTCTTTCAAATAGTGGTAGATAATTTTAATTTTTCGGTATCGTAATTTCCAATTGTCGAATTTTCAGATTTATGTGCAGCAAATGTTAAGAATCTAAATGGAAATAATCCATTAAGTCGTTATACACATCAGTCTTAATCATCATTAATAGCTATAGGGTAGAATTAAAATGATAGATATTCATGGCCCGTTGTTCATTGTTAAGTATCTAGAATCATACCGGTATATAGGAAATATTTTACTATTTTTGAGAGTTTTGTTAAATGAAGACATTGCATAGACAACTTGCAGCGTCTTTAAAATTATACATATTATATACAGTGGCTCAACTAGATAAGTTGACCTTGGACTTGGTTTTATTTAAAGATATTGTTCTACATTTTTATCTTGCGGTGGGGCCCTTTCAGGGGTAGGGTTCGTGGACTTGGTTCAACCAGTAGTTGGACCACATTCTTTATTCTGTCATTGAAATGTGAACCTTTTTTGAATAATATGGAAGCAATTAGAGGTAAATAGTTTGTTGCCTGCACCCGGCAACAGTCAGAATTCATTGTTTTGGTGGTTTTCTGTAATTTCACACACCGATACCAATACATCGTAAAAGCGCTATACCGTCTTCTAGGTCGCAGTATAATGGTGATTTTTATGAAGTTCGTAAATTTTACGAGACTTTATCAGAGACATTTTCTGGCGTTTTCTTCACGTTTACTTGCTATCTAAGTCGCCGTAAGATATTTATGATATGTTGGTGAATATTTGAATATTTTCTTTAAAAAAAAGTGTTGGAATTGTTTTCAGCTTTCTATTCTCGATTTTTTTAGATTATTTGCATCTATGTCCCTTTTAGGTATTTTTAGATTCAATTAAAAGAAAGCTTTCAATTGTTTGTCCTCTGTCGCTTATATTTATAATCTCCTGTCTATTTCAGTAGTAAGGTCTGTAGATGCGTCACAGTGTCCCGAACCACCATCAGGATTTGGACCCTGTGTTATTACAGATGCCAATTGTCTTACAGATTCTGAATGTTCAAACGGTAATACATTTATATTTTACTGATTTTTGTACCATTGCATTGTGCATAATTAGCAATACTTAGCCATACATTCCAATGATGCGTATCATTTTCAGTAACGGCATATATGGATACAATAATTTGAAAAAATCCATAGATTTTTTTTCTCGTAATTGAAACAAAGTCAATTGATTTGAATTTCAACGTATGTGTTTTTAACGGAAATAATATGCATATCTATAAAGATATCTGTGAAGAGGTTTTCTAACAAAATTTTATGTGTTTCGGGAACACTGATAGCAACAATTTTTTACTTTAACATTTTCCCCGTAACAAAAATTGTATTTTTTGTAGAACGCATCCTCCATATCTCACTTATATCTATTCGCCATTACAGTACTTCTTCATACAATATTAAATTCTATTATTAGGTCAGATTTGTTGCCCTCATTTATGTGGTAAAATATGTAAAGATAAAGTGAGTTTGACTGTCGTTAAACCAGGTAAGAGTTTTATATTATATATTTAAAAGTTAACCAACATTTCTAAAACAATCTGTCGTGTTGATATTAGAAGCCGGAAATGAGCATTAGTCAATTAGAATTTCATTTCAAAGGTTATACTCTAAGCTGAGATATCTGATCATTAAATGAATACTGTATATATGCAAATCTATTCTGCTTGTCATTTAAAATATTATTTTCTAAACTTGACCATGGTCAAGTCTAACACACCAAAGTGAGACTTAAAGGAATACACTAAATTTTAACTTTACATTGTGTGTTTCGGAGGTCACGGCATCCTTGTTTGCTCGAACCTGAGTGCGAGATTTCCTCCCCGCTGGGAAGCACTGCCTAGATATACTCTCGTAGATCATGCGCGCTGTGTCAGATAACAGCAAACCGTGGTAAGAAAATTTAAATGTTTTACCACACTATACCTCCATGTTACGTCACGGTCTATAAAGCACTGCACGTTTTGTTACGATCACCCAGTTTTAGTTCTTTTAAGATTCGCTGCCGCACCAAGGATTCCGTGAATTTATTACAATTTTAAATTTTGTTACTTCATCCACGGCAACTACAGTCTTCCATCCCTTTGTTATCTAAATCCATCCCTTTTTGTGCACGTTGGCCTGAAACGTGATTTCCGTGGCTGCTGGAAACGTAATGTTAACTAAGCACAACGATCAAATAAAAGTTCAGTAGTACTGAGTTCTTTTAAACGGGTGTAACACTTTTAATGTTTGAAAAAGGTTTATTTTTTCTGTCCTTAACCCAAATTGCAAGGCCGTGAGAATTTAACAAAAGGTATTTTTTGAATCCAAGTTAAAAGACCACTCTAAGTCTAATTAAAATATACTCAGTTATTTAGTACAGTATTGGCTTTTCATTTTTAATTATTGACACACGTCCACGTCATCAAAGTTAACATAGTTAACTTACTTCGACAGATATAACTTAAATTTGATATCTATCATACCATGGTTGGTGATAAGTTATATTTGTCATTTATTTCATTATGATACAATTGCAAAAATACCAGATGCATTTTCGAAACAGTAGAAATTGGACGAAGCGAATCGTTTCCATTCAGTATCCTCGGTAGCTTCCATAAACTGAATTTACCTCGATAGTGAATTGAAGATTTCGTTGTTTTATTCTGGGTCGAGCGTCTTTACTTACGGCAATTTGCAGTAATTTTTGCAACTACCGTTTGATTCCATTTTGAAAGGACCCGTACCTCGTGTATTCGCACTTCTATTATATCCGCAATTTTGAGTCGTACACATTCCGTCGTCTTTTCACACCATATAGGCCCTAACGCACCTGGCGCTAAGGAATTCAATTGAAGGTCATACACTTGTTCATCACATGAGCTACGGTGACGTAGAAAGAGCAGCACTGAAATTTCCTCTTTGTCTTCCATATTGATGGATTGAAAAACACAGAATTTGAAGAACTGATTCACCACGTAAGGTGATGAATAATCATGCATCTCTTGGACATGTCAGCTTTGCAACAGCGAAATTCCACTGCGACCATAAAAATATCGAAACTTTTACACGCGGTGGTTAACGGTACCTCGTGCGAAACCGAGTCAGGTCTATGCGTTTTGACCATAACCCTTAAATAGCCTAGTTTTTGGCTTTCCAAAACTGAATAGCATCATTGATCAAAACAAGATACTTTCGCTTCAGGTACCTGTCCATCGAATGCTGCCATATCATGCTTCGTAGGTAGTGTTGCTGATACTTGTAGTTCTGATAGCGATTGTCCGGGAAACCAGAAGTGTTGTAATTTGTGTGGTAAAAACTGTTCACCACCACAGGGATCAGGTTTGTCAAAATCCATTTTCTTTTCTCAAAACTATATCTTGAAGAACATATTCTCAGATTAAAGTAGAACACAGCTGCTACTTTAATCTGAGAATATGTTCCTACTTTAATCTGAGAATATGTTCCTACTTTAATCTTAAGGAGTAATTGCATTCTTTTCATTGCAATACTACAAAAACAGCTAGATTTCTATGATCCAATATTCGGGTAGTCTGATTTTTTTCTATTAACTTTATTGGTAATTGTGTTCACAATATGCGTGAATTTGTTTGAGTTTGAATTTGATTTACAAAAAATATTAATTTGGGTGTATTTGTCGACAAAAACGTCACGTATTATGTAAACAGTTTGGTGTATCAAACCTTAATGGTGTGCAAAATAGTCTATATTAACTAAACAATACTACATAGAGTCTGAATTAACAGATTTTTAGCTTATTTTCATATACCATAACGTAAGCTGATACGTATGCAGATAGATGTTGTTAATTAAACTAAGATTCCAGATTGAAAAAAATTAATTGAACCTAGATTGAGGACCTTTTATTCAAAACATATTGGCAATTGGAAAATAGTAACTGCCGTAACTGTTGTCTACAGTCTGACTTATAAATGGTAAGAGCCAAAGAAGGCCTTACTTTCTAACTAATGAAGTGGGTTTAATTTTTCAGCTCCTCAGTTACCCCCCATCGGTCTCCCTGCTCCTCCTCCAGGTATTTATTTATTACCATTTATAAACATATCAAGTCATCCCATTCTTCGAGCGAAATTAAATCTCATTAAATCCCTTTCATTTAATGGATGTTTAATATAAAATCTCATAGTTTTTTTATATCTGACCTCCTGTTGACGTTTTGTCAGTGTTATTGTGAATTAGATAAGGTATATTGGGGCCTAAAAAAAACCTTTCCTCGGACATACTTCGAGAAGTGGGATTTCAAATATCATAGGCCATGTTACCAGACGTAGTAATTTTCAGTGTAATGGTCAACCACTATAACAATTTATTTTCAGCTCTTTCTTCAATATTTACGACCAACATCACTGTTACGCTTTTGATACTTTGAATTTCCAAATGAAATAAATTACCACAATGAAAGTAATCTTCAATTTCAGTTTGCCCTCCAGTTTGTGCAATCGCATGTGAATATGGAAATGTACTTGATCAAAACGGCTGTCCAACGTGTTCATGTAAAAGTACGTACCAGTTTTTTTTTATATTTAGTTATATAATCTAATAATAATAAGATATTTTCACTGTTAAAATAGTGCTCAATACAATAATTGTAGAGCAATAATCTTTATAAATATACAGCAATCAAGTACTTTATTATTTGATAAATAATGACATTTTTCCATTATTATGTCTGCTTTACATTATTAAACCCGCCCTATATCTCATCCGATACTGGAAATCAACACTCTTGATATCACTGTCCCAGAGTTATTTATTTGTGTTCTCAATTGTTGGTTATAAATTACTTTTCTAGAAACACCATGTAAAGGAGAAGCTCCACTAACCTTAGATAGGAATGGTAATACCATTAATTGTGGTCGTGGAGGAGTAAGATGTCCACTAAATTCAGAATGTAAAATTCATCCAGCTGATGCTTATGCTCTATGTTGTCCAATAGGTAAGAGAAGGCATAACATTAGTCGGTATCCTGTATTTGGACAACTTGCCAATTATTGAAAGCTCTTTATGAATATATAATATTTCTATCTAAGAGTGACTGTTAAAAATATAATGAATACTGCATGTCAAATGTTGAATAGACTATTTGCTATGGAAGACCAAATAATCCAATATAAAGATGTCTTAATTCTTAGTTCTTAATGCTTAATTCCTACTGCTCCATTTATTCGTTATTTTGACATTTTTTGATTTTTGTCAATTATGTGAAACAAATGTCAATTGTCCTGTCGGAAATTACTTGTCCCATGATTAGCATATATTAAGTTGATTTTGAAGAAGACATATAGGCCTTTTTAAGCCCTTAGTCTCTTTGTATTATTGTCATGATACCTGCTAGTACCAGCATAAAAATTCTGCTAATGAAATCAAAATGGCAATTTTACATTTCTCTATTTTAGAACCTGATGACCCAAAACCAGGTAAATACCAATTTCATAGATAAACAAACATTATGAAATGATATATTGTTGGTCAAAGAAAAAGGTTGTCTCTCACTTGATGATGCTGATGATAAACCTATAAGCTTAAACAATTTTTACATTATCTTTCTTTTCTTCTGTATCTGATTGTGTAATAGTTACGGGCATCGCCAGTGGTATTACCCTAAACCTTTTCAATTTCTAACTATCGAGGGATCTCTTTTAAAGTTATACTACCTCCTTGGAAAAAAAATGAAATTTTTAAACTTGGTCAGGATGAAACTTTGTTGATCAGTGGACTTTCTTGTTGTCGAAACTATACGACAGAATCCCTCGATAATCTAATAAATCCATAAAACTAAGTAATAATTCATTAAACTAAGTTTTCAATAATTACTTAGTTCAATTGATATATCGCCTTATATAGAGATTCTATTCATCAAGGGAGCTGGTAAGTCCAACTGATTAATATAATATACACTTCTTGACTTGAGACTTTAAATGCAAAATCCATTCTAAGAGGTAGTATTCCTTAAAAGGATTCCCTGTAATCTTTACCTCGCCGATAAGACCAGTATGTGCCTTCCCAAATACTCCACCATGTAAAGTTGATGGAGATTGTTGTCAAGGAGAAATATGCTGTCCTGGAGTATGTTTTAACAGATGTGTCAAATCATCATTGCCCAATACTAACAAGCCTGGTATTATACTTTGATTATCATACACTTCGCACCAAATGTGGTTTGTCAGAAAATGCGTCTTTCTGTAGTTGCAGTCGATTTCAACAATAATTCATTGTCCATCTTGAATTAGGTGCAGAAATCTAACCCATTTGGTTTTACCATTGAAATCTGCATGAAAACCTAACGTACTAACAAATTTTATGACAAGAAAAACAAACTCATCCCGTGGTATGGAAAATCTTTCCATTCATCTTATTTTTCCTAAATAGGTGTATGCCCAAAGTTACCTAATCCACTACCACGATGTTTAATATTCCAAAATGATTGTAAGCAAGATAGCGAGTGTCCTGGTGATCAGAAATGTTGCAGTGTCACATGTGGAATTGGGTGTATTGACCCTGTAAAACGTAAGTACAATCATAACAATACTGACCTATCCATGTATGTACTCTTATTGACCACGCTTAAGACTTTAGATTTTATGTATCTTTCAAAGGGACAGTTACACCATTTCTTTGACCAATCATGCCTTAGTCTGAGATTTTTTTAGAAACTTAACCAATCAGTAATAGTGTTCACAGCTCACCTTCGAAATTTGAGCCTTCAAATCTTTGCTTTTCCAGAATTATTATTTGAAAGTTAAAAAGAAGAGTCGTCTTTTCTTGAGACACTGTCATATATTATAGAAAATACATCTATAGAAATAAGAAAAGAAATTCCTAGTTTGAGATATTTTGAAGGAATTATGTGATTTTCGTGCATTTCTAGTACTTCTGAAGACTGTTTATATATATCAAAGACGCAAATCAACCCCCCAAAATGGCGCATTTAAATTGCACAGCCTTAAGCCAACGGATTTATTGTCCTATCCATAAACAGATCATTTTTGTATGAATTTATTTGGTGATATAAGATATGCATTTTTAATACTCCTTACGCACATATCATAATTATGCATTTTGAAAGTAGAGTAAAATAATGTTACAAATCATTTACAGTATGTCCAGTTGTTGATTGTTTACAATATTGTGAGTTTGGTTACAGACTTGATTCAAACGGATGTCAAACCTGTCAATGTAAAAGTAAGTATTATTCCTTTTCAACACATTATTTCTAGTGAGCGTCATTTAATGTCTTCAAGCATGTCTTCAAGAAATGAAAAAACAACTATATTTTACAAGGATAACAACTTAGTTTCACAATTAAGGATCATTTCTTCCAACTGGGATTGATATTTCCTGGTTGTCCGAACCCATTCAAATCTGGGTCGTCTTGCATTGTGAGTGAAGATGATTTATTCAAGGCTTTTAACACGCCGATCAGAATCGGAACTCTCACATTTTGCTTGACGTAACCAAGTAAAAGACGCCATGTAAAGAACCATATTATTATACCAGATCTGGTTATTAATGTAACCAACAAAACATGCAAAACATAAGCATATCACCAACTTATTTGTCTATTGTATCTGAGCATTTTAGCTATTCATTACTTTTTCAACCCACTAGCACCAGAACTTACTACTTATTGGTAAAAAATTCTAATATTTTTTTCTTGAACTCGCCACTGTTGTACACCAAATTTTCATATTAACTAGTATCTTTTTATCACCAAAAATGTTGAACGTTTTTCAGAATCGCCCTGTGAAGATGAAGCACCAATGACCCTGGATAGCACTGGTAATACCATTAATTGTGGCCGTGGAGGAGTAAGATGTCCATCGAACTCGGAATGCAAAATTCATCCAGCTGATAGATATGCTGTCTGTTGCCCAAAAGGTAAGTCATCACACATTGTTAGAAGTCTTGTACGTTGAAATTTTATATGAATATATGGAAATAAGCTCCATTAACATAACAGTATTTCCACAATAATTTTGGGGAAATATGAAACATAATAAGTATATGAACTGCCATCTTCACAATATCAATTTATTCTTTCTTATACTAAAATAGTCACTATACTGGTCATCGATACATCGGTAGAGTACTAGAAATATGGTTTGCACTCCCACTTTATTTGAAATAAATTTAAAAAGATAAGATTTTTTAAAATTTTTTTCACAAAAATATCTTTCAGAATGCATCAAACCTTTCAATGTTTTTGGGAGAAACCTCTCAGAAGCCACGAGAGACAGAGTTACGGCATTTTGAATTAAGCCTCTACAGGATGTCCCCACATTGAGGAAATAGAAACAGAATTAAATAGATACAGCAATTTCTTCAATATTTACAACCAACGTCACTTATTATATACGCTTTGAAAACGACTTTATTTATTTCAGTTTGCCCTCCCGTTTGTGAAATATATTGTGAATTTGGAAATGTACTTGATGAAAACGGCTGTAAAACATGCAAATGTAAAAGTAGGGTTCCGTAGTTTTTTTTTTATCTTTATTCATGTTATGTAGCCCAATTAGAATCTCTTATAAAACGGGCGTTTTTACTGAACCCATCCTTCTGTATTAAAGTGGTCTAAAATCTTGACCTACATAACTTGGTTGTATTGTTAGGTAAATAATAATCAAACATTGGTCTATTTTTAGAACCTAGTCCAGTATGCAAATCCGATAATCACCAACTCATTTGTCTATCGTATGTGGACAATTTTTGGCAATTCATAAAATTTTCAGCCCACTTGCACCAAAAGTTACTGCTTATTGGCAGCAAAATACTGATATTTTGTACTTGAACTCTATTTCACGACTGAAAATTGAAGTATAGTTTATATGTCCATACAACTTTCATATCTACAAGTATCTTTTATCACTAAAAATGTTGAACGTTTTTTAGAGTCACCCTGTGAAGATGGAGCACCAATGACCCTAGATAGCAATGGTAATACCATTAATTGTGGTCGTGGAGGAGTAAGATGTCCATTAAATTCAGAATGTAAAATTCATCCAGCTGATAGATATGCTGTCTGTTGCCCAAAAGGTACGTCGCCACGCTAAGTAAGAACTCAATAGCAAGTTGAAAGGCTATATAAATAGATGAAAATGGGCTCTTTGTCTTATACCTTATTAATCGATGGGGTCCTCGAAATATGGTTTGAACCCTTACTTTATTTTTTACATTTTTGCACCAAAATATCTGTCAGAATGCATCAAACCTTTCAATGTTTTTGAGAGAAACCTCTCAGAAGCCACGAGAGACAGAGTTACGGCATTTTGAATTAGGCCTCTACAGGATGTCCCTTCATTGAGGTAATAGAAATATAATTAAATAGATACAGCAATTTCTTCAATATTTATAACCAAAGTTACTTATTACGCGTTGATACTTTTAATTTCCAAATGAAATAAATTACCGCTTTGAAAACGACTTTGTTTATTTCAGTTTGCCCTCCAGTTTGTGCAATCTATTGTCAATATGGAAATGTACTTGATGAAAACGGCTGTGCAACGTGTACGTGTAAAAGTATGTACCAGTTTTTTTCTTTATTAAAAATTATTTCGATATATATATGTACAGCAATCCACATATCATGCACCATTATTTCTACTCTACATAATTAAGCCTATCTTTATCTCATAATAAATTATTGACAAAACTGTCCCGGAGATATTATTTGTGTTCTCATTGATATTTCAAGATAAATAAGTTAACCTCGTCTAAATTCCATTTTCTAGAAACACCATGTAAAGGAGAAGCTCCACTAACCTTAGATAGGAATGGTAATACCATTAATTGTGGTCGTGGAGGAGTAAGATGTCCACTAAATTCAGATTGTAAAATTCATCCAGCTGATGCTTATGCTGTTTGTTGTCCAAAAGGTAAGATCATGTATTTGGATAAATTGTCAATTATTGAAAGCTCTTTCTGATATACAATATGTCGATCTAAGAGTGACTGTTAAAAATATAATGGATACTGCATGTCAAATGTTGAATAGACTATTTGCTATGGAAGACTAAATAATCCAAAATAAAGATGTCTTATTCCTTAGTTCTTAATGCTTAATTTTCTGGATAACAATGGCTGTAAATCTTATCAATGCAAATGTTTGGAGCAGTCTTTTTGAATTTCTATACCTTGGTTTAGTTTATATAGGTTATCATAGGGTTATATCACCAGAACAGAATTGCTTTCTCTTATAAATCCTCGACACGGATGTTTTCATAGTAGGCCTACTAGTACTGAACCATCCTTCTGTAATAAGTTGATCTAAAATCTAGACCTACATAACTTATCTTGACTGTATTGAAATGTAAATAATAATCAAACATTGGTCTATTTTTAGAACCTAGTCCGGTTTGCAAATTCGGTAAGTACCTTCTAATAAAAACGCCCTTTTTGAATTACAAATATGTTGTACAAGGACATCAAGAATGACAATTTTTAATCTATTAACATTACACATTGTATGTATATGAATTGCTACGATCTATATAGGCGTTTGTATTTGTGACTTAATCAATTAAGTATTGAACGGTAACTCTGAAATCTAATTGTCCAACATTGATGTCTACAAATGTACTTAAAGGGCGAATCTAGTAGACACAAAGACAATGGCATCGGAAATTCAATGATCAAAAGTCATATGCGAATTTTGAGACCTGTATTGTTACTATCTACCTTTCTTCTCGAAATCACTTCAAGAATTAAAAACGTGTACGAACGATCCAAGACACAATACGAAACGCGAAATCCAGGAGCCGATTGGTAGCTAAAGATATGAGGAAGTATACCACGCATGAATGAGGAAGTATTTCATAATGAAGGTATTATCAAGTATTTAGAGTAAGCATTCCCTGCCTGATGGCACCACATCTATGGTTACTAGACACTTTATTAATTGCATTTGACCTTTTTGTAGGTAGTTGTCCAGTGCCACCTTCATCATTTCTTTTAAGATGTGCCAGCATTGACCGATGTAAATATGACAGTGAATGTGAAGGAACGAAGAAATGCTGTAAACATCCTTGTGGAAGGCAATGTCGAGATATTGTCAAGTCTAAACCAGGTATTGTTACTTCCTAATGTACAGTTGCTGTTATGAAACAAAATAATGGTCGAAAACCACGCTATTCCTTTTTCAGATGAGTAACTCATAAGAGTACAAACTTGTACGTAATAGACGTATATGTATGATGAATAACTATGTTCACCAACATCAATAGCATTCTAACAATAACATATCTGGAAAGATTTTTAACAGGTTGATTATGAAAATATCCAATAAAATTTATCATACAGACATATTGTGTTTTGGCTAGGAGTTCCCTTGCAAACAATTGTTTAAAAAATCGAAATTTGCCCTTTTTTCAAAAGTTAATATGAACACCAGTTTTAAAACACTACTGATATTCATATGCTGAAAAAGACGTTTTTGTTAAAACTTCACTCCTAAAACTTACCACAACCAAAAATGTCAGCAAAAAAAATGTCAAGTTAAAATTTAAAGTTATATTGTGTACTCATGTTTATGTTGAAGCTGATATTGAAATTATCATAAAAATACATGTAATTGGTAAAATTCTATTGTAGTGGTGATTATTCGATTCAGGAGTTTTTTCTTATTTACTGTCATTTTCATCTATCCTCTATCAAGGTGTTTGTCCCAAGAAAGCCGACCCAACACTAGTGCTTTGTAAACGACGTGGAGATGATTGTTATGAAGATGCTACTTGTCCCGGAAGTCAGAAATGTTGTCAAGGTGCATGCGGAAATGCATGTATGGACCCTCGTTTAACCTCTACTGACCATGCAGGTAAGACAAATTATATAACAAAATATACTTCAAGATTTAGCTTCAAGATTATGTATAGGCAGTGTAAATTTAGTCCCACGCCATCGTCTTTAAACTAATACTTATAATGAAACGTAAACTCCAGGCAAAGATACTTCTTACCATTCTTTTCGTCACAATAGTCAAATAGTTTATAGTATGCATGGACAATTAACCATCTTAAACCATATTGACATCGATCTGTTTCTTTCTGCCCAAATTTGTCAATGGGTAACCCGGTGGATGGACAGACAGCACTTACTCTATTGGAGGGTATCTGAATTTCTATTCAGCAAGATCTTGCTTGGTCCCAGAATATCTGTTTCTCGTATATTACTCCAATCTTTTCATTTTCGTTCTTTTGTGACTTCACATTTGTATGTCTTATATGCTACTTTTGATAAGCTATACATTCTGCTATAGAATGTTGGTGGATCTGAAGCTAACGAAGACCCATTTTCCCTCTATTTCTGGTAATGTTTTTATTTATACGCATATTTTTGTTCACCATTTAGGTACATGTCCTGCTTTGGACCCAAAAATACAGTCATTAATCTTATGTGCAAGCCTTGACACTGAATGCGAGTTAGATAGTGATTGTAAAGTTGATCAAAAATGCTGTAAGGATTATTGTGGTATTAAATGTGTCAAAAGCGTACCAAAGCCAATAATCAAAAAAGGTAAGATATAATTCTGTATCTTTTATATAATTTGTTTTCTTTATTAAAAAAAATGCATAAGATATGGAAGTAAAAGAGGTAATAAGGGATTGTCCAAATGCATCACAGTTCGATTTGAGAGATTCAGGCTTCAGGAATTATATCCTAGAAACTTAGAAGACGCTCGTGCTCGTGTATGTTTTTTTTATATTTACATAAGACTTGGACGTCATAATTCTTTCTGAAAAGTTATACTGTTGGGAGTAAAGGTTGTAACTTTGTAATAATGGCAAAGTTATGAAAGCACAGGAATTAGAATCTTTCAGTTCTTTAATTTGAATACAGAAAATGTGTATTAATAATTTAATATAATGAAAAAATTCTTATGGATTAAAATTACTAACTTTATTTGAGCGACGTTTCGACCAGTGTTCTCTATAGTCTTTATCAAGCAACGAATGACCAGTGAACAGTGGCCGAAACGTCGCTCAAATAAAGTTAGTAATTGTAATCCATAAGAATGTTTTCATTATATCCAACACCTTTACTAAATGCCATTCAAAGATTAATAATTTAATGTTTGTAATTCTGGGTTCTGTACACTGTAAACTGTAGATAATCTGAAATTAGCAGAAAAATCTCCTAGGAAATTTGGGTAAAAATCATAACAAATAAAAAAAAAACCGTGGAAAAATGTTTACAATTGGGTGTGACTAAACATACGTCTCTTAAAATGAATACATCAATCTGTACGATAATGAGTACGGGGTATGATTTGGTCGAGATTTGGACTATTAATCCTATTTCATTGAAGTTAATTTCGTGTGCATGTTATGTCTTCTCCAAATAGGTACTTGCCCGCGTTTAAGATATAGATGTCGCCGAAAACGACGTGACTTCTGTCGCTCAGATGGTGACTGTCCGGGGGACAGAAAATGTTGTAGACTTCCATGTGGATATAAATGTAGACGTCCTAAAAGAATTCCAATCATCAGAAAGGGTACATGTAATTCCCTCCCATTTTGCACTAACCCACATTGGCGCTGAAGTTTCCACACTTTTTTCCAGATAGATATGCACTGTTAACCAATGTTAATACCCATCCCTTTAACCCTTTATTTTTCGTGATTAAAGTTATTAACTATTTCTCTTTAGTATGGTTTGATTTAAAACAGGACATACATTAAATTTTCCGATATATTTTCCGTAACATGTTTGTTACTTTGTACAATTTTTTAAATTTCATTTATTTATCAATGTTTTCAAAAGCATTATGGAATTTAGTATTTATCTAAGCAATATGGTGTTGGTAGTGCGTTTGTTTTATAAAACTGGTCTCGGCAGTTTAACCCTGTTTGATGATAGATTAATAATACAGCCTGGAAACTAGATATGGCATACATGTGCGCATTCTTAGACGTGAGGGGCATTGCTTCGCACGTATTAAGTCGACAGCCGCTGCCGCTGACATTATATTTCGGAATGCTTAATGCTTGCCTGGTTATTGGTTAATTCTGGTGTAATATTTTGTACATTATTAGATGAAACTGCATTTAGATAATAATAGTATCGCACAAAAATTACCAGAAGAATGAAAATAGTATTCTCGTGAATAATACAAAGTGAATTTAAAGGTTCTTCATTTGATCTGTTAAATGATTGCATCTCATCCGAAAGTGGTAATTCATCTTCATTACCCAGTCTCTAATTATGTCACCAGAACACATTATCTTGAGATGACATCTGCTAACATCATATCTTTATTTTCAGAATGTCCAGCTGTAAACACACACCCCATCTATAAACTGTTTTGTTCTCCTCCATTAAATCCACCATGTCAAGTTGATAGAGATTGTCCTCAAGGTAAAATATGTTGTCCCGGAGTTTGTGCTAACAGATGTTTGAAGGCACCAACCAAACCAGGTAATGATATTACATGTATTTTTTTTTAATTTGCACGCTTTAATGTCGTATCTATAATCAAAGGTTCTTTTATACCTTGTCCGTTGAGGAAACCATCGGACATTTTTGATTTTATTGCAGGCTTCTCCAAAATTGTAACATCAGTACCTTATTGCACAATGATTTGCAAATGACTACAGGTAATCCGGAGTTTTATCTTTGAAAGGACGATTGACCAAGGGTAAACTGTTGTACAGGTTTTTATTTCTTTCTAATATTTAGTTATTATTTCAGTTTGTGATCCAAATCCTTGTGGAGATGCCCAGATAAAATGCCAATATGGTCAGACGAAAGATGAAAATGGTTGCTTGTTGTGCCAATGTAAGTCGTATGACTTTAAGATGTCTTAAAAGAATTTTGATCTAAGGACCTTGCTGCGGTATTGCATTTTTGGCCTTTTATAGATTTTACTTTAAGTTTCGTGTTTTGATACTACATCTTAAAACAAGGTTTAGATACTTCCATGATAAGGGTACTTCCGGATCTTACCTATTGGTGTTTCTTTGGTATATTTAGTGTACTAATTGTTGGTATTTCTGTAGGTAACCAGTGTCCAAATGGTCAAGTTATAGTCAACTGTTTCGCCGATCCATGTCAAGTTAGCATATGTAATAATCCAGCAGGAATACGATGTGTGTAAGTATTCAACAATATGTATATGAATCCCAATATGAAAACCTGTTGATATACTAAGGGAGATTTGTTATTTTCTTAATATTTTGTTTTTTTATAAATTATTATTATGCAGTTGCATAAAGGGATTTTCTGAAAGAAATACTGATCTGTAATCTGTAGATCTCAAAGATCTATCATAATAAAAATTTAATTTCATGCACTTCTCTTTCAGATCTAACTACTGTGGTGGTTGTAACGCAGTGTATTATGATGCCAACAACAATGAAGTGGACTGTTCTGTATCTATGAAAGGAAAATAAACCCTAAGAAATCCAATATATTCCCAGAGTAATAAAATGTAACCCTGTTATCTGGTTTTTTAAATTTTTTCAGGACCCGAGGAGTGGTCAATGAAATAAAAAAAAAATCTATCTTACCTTATAGTCCAGCTAAGTTATTTCTGCTCATTAGTGCTCATCCAAGTCCGATTCAAAACCTCAACACGAGCAGTCCAATTTATTTTTCGGTGGAATAAATAGTAATAGAAACTATACAGACTAAACTTATATAGTGTTGATTACTCTTGAATATACCTAAAAATAAAAATGGATCATGTTTATGATTTGAATCAGATGCAGATAAGCAGAAATATCTGTTTGACTATAACGGTCACATCGAAAATATTTTTCAAAAACATAGCTACGGTGGAATTAATCTACAGAGTACAAGGCAAATAACCCCTCCACGTTTCTCAGACATGAAATATGGATAGGACAGAGGCATTATAGAATATCTGAAGATGTCTTGATGGTCCCTATGTTCCTTTAATTCTTGATAAGTCTCAAAGTAACATTACGATATTATCCACATCTAACTGTTGCTTTGAGACTCAATTATCAGGATGCTAAAATTTTGTGTCTGGTTATTCAAATATTTTCCCACAATGTTTTCTTTGGCATAATCTTATTGGTCGAGAAATACCAATCAAAATTAATATATATTAATATCGGATTGTGAAAGCACTGGTAGGTTATTGATAATATACTATCGTTGATAAAGGAGCATGGATGGACTCAAGGTTCGGCTTTGTATGGGTACTTAAATTTATTCGAAAATTAGTGAAAATTCTCAAAACCTAGTCAGCTCCAGCAACTCCCATAAAAAAGTGACATTTTATGTCAGGCCCTAAACGTGTCGATATCAAAACCGTATTATCACGATCAAGAAACCGGTAGGGTCAGAGTTGTCAAGCTACATGCAAACATGTAAAAGAAATATGAATATAATTGTCCCCTGGATTGCATAGTATATGATGACTAGACTAGAAAAATGTCAAGTGTCTTTATTAGAATAAATTCTTTACATTGACATACTGTCACTCACAAGATATATTTTACTTTATAGCCGACCTCAAATTCATACCTCTTCAACTGACGAACATTGATTTATATTGGTTAATCACGTTTTAAAACGATAGCTGCCAGGCAAGGTAACATACGCCCACTGACAGCTGCCAGAAATGACACTAGTGTCTTTGTTATTATTTAAAGAGCTTCATAATGCATTTGCTGTTCAAAAACTTATAAATATCTCATCAATTTACGAGTTATATATACTGAATTTTCCTCAAATCAAATCTGCAGTCTCAAATTTGAAAAAATATTTTAATAACATTTAAATTACATGTAGAGACTACAAATATTAGAAATCATAAGCGATACGATATTGTTATCTAATTGTAATGTTGTCAAGGAAGGGTGATGGGGATTAAAACACCACACCAAGGGTTCAAATCGTAAAAGATTTATTATATAACAAAAACCCTAAAAGTACCAAAATGATATAGTTACAAACAGTTTATAAAATAAAAGAAGAACTGAATCACAATAAAAGGTAATGTTAAACAGCAATACTTAGGCCACATAAAAAAACAATTGGTGATTGTCCCCGCCCGTGCCCGAAAACGGCCCTGTCCTTGATTTTTTTTTTTATAAAGGCATTTTCAGAGCCATATTTTTATATTATGCAAATAGGGAGGAAAATGATTGGACAATAAACCAATGAATTTTAAGAGTTTCAAGCAAATTTACTAATTTCCAAAACAGAATATATGCAGCCTGTGGGATATATTTTCTGTAATTTATTGTTGGCATGCTTCTGGTGAGGAATAAAGCAGTATCAGCATGTGGGATTAAGTGTTTTAGGGTCCGTTCAATTCAAAAAAAGACCCCCACCCCCTTCCCCTGCTTGCGGTCATTCAAAGGATGATCACCAATTTTTTTTATGCGGCCTTATAGTAGACAGGCAACACGAAAACCTACTCTATGCCGTACTTAATTAATTAATATGCTAATTCAAATAATAGATTGTGCATGAATATAAATAAATACAAATAAAGCTTAGCCTAAAAGGGGTTTAAACTATAACCTGTGTAAAGGTGAAATACCTTACCACCTAAGGGTTTTAAAGGGAATCTGTAATAAAATAATGTATGAATATAAGATAATGCTTATGTAATAAAATTGTTTAAATATGATAATTAAATGAATGGATTGAACGCAGAAATACTTGAACTTGAAAGTGTATAAAACCACTGTATAAAAACTAAGAAATACCAAATTGAAGAAACTTCAATTTACACCATATACTTGTATTTATTTATGAATATAATCTTGATGGCAGTATAAACCATCCTACAGATACAATTTCTACAACAGAATGACCATACCGGTAAGAAAGAAACCAACTTAGATGGTCACTACAAAATCCCAGAAAAGACAAGGTTCAAGGTTAGGATGAATAGAACTCAGAAAGAAAGAATGTTCAGGCGATGCGTTGATGTAAAAAATAACAAACTAAAACTTTGCATTCATTCGATGGAAGACGATACAGAATGAGTTAAAAAGCTATACATGACGATGTTGAGTGGAAGCGTGCTTGATGTAAAACTGACCTTCACCCAGAAGCCGGAAGTGTCAAAAGTTGCGCACAAGGTTCAATGGAAGCTGTTCGGTGCGTTCGAACCACCGTTCTTTCCACGTCCCGACATTCTGAACAGAGAAGATATAGTAACTAGTAACTAGATAGGAAAGCAGAAAAGGCAGTGAAAAGGCAGTGAAAAGGCAGTGAAGTGTAATTATTAGTTATACTGTGAACTGAATACAATTAATTACACCCTTCAACATTAATAAGATTGATAAAAAATCTATTCATCCGATTAATACCAAATTCGAACTGATTGGCATCTTATTTACAAGTTTCAAGTTCAAATCTAAAGCCTCTATGTCCACAAACTAGGTGACGTCAATATAATTTTCATGATTGTGTGAGTATAAGAATTAGAAAGTAAAAACTATTTCTGTAGTAAATTTTGGAAATATCATTATTTTGTATTATATGTGACGTTTGACATTCAGTATACGCTTTTTTTGATGGAAATGGTTGAAATTAATGTACATGAACTGTTAAAAACCTTTCTCTTTGTCTTATTTTATTTTCATCAAAATTTTGGCTGTCAGGTCAATCTAAACTTAAATGTAACTACAAATAATATAAAAAATTACATAACGGAACACAAAATGTCGCCAAAGGAATAAATATAAAAATGTGTCCTTGAACATGAAAGGTCATTTCAGACCGCAAATTCTAACCTAATATATGATTCTTATTGTTCCAAAACTAGGTTCCAATTTACGATAGTATTGATATCAACAAATCAACATATCAGTCCGATATCAGCATAATATTAAACAATAAAATTTTAAGTACAAATAGGATTGTAAAGATGCTTTTTGAACTCTTTATGTGTGACAGGGATACTGATTTCATCAATTTGAATTATTTCAATATTCAGTCAGACGTCTGTGGTTGTTGCAATTTCACGAAAAGTTTGATTTATGCGTGACGTGACTATGGTAGAAACCTGTTATTGTATTAGGACCTTTGGGCTAGTGACATTATAAAACGTTTAAATGAAATTGCAAGAACCATAGACGTCGGTTCCAAATTGGAATGGTTCTAATCGATGCTCTCAGTTTCACTTAAACACATACAATTTCTTTTAGAAAACCTCTTTACAATCACTTTTAGTCAAAGATGAAGGAGTACACATAGTATATTTCAAGTCATATGGTGTATTGTATCCGTACACTAAACATGGTACAGGTCGACATTGTGACTTGACCATTAGCCGAATAAAGTGCACCGACGACTTGAAAATGGCAATTGCCGTCAGTTGCATGAGCTCCACTTTCTTTTCGTCACGATTCTGGGACAATCCAGTTGACCGTAGTAACTATGGCTGTCAATTAGGCGCATTTCATGAGAAGCTTTATCCAATCTAATTAAAATCAGATTACAATTTCGTTTCGTTATTATTTTTCAGTCAGTACGAGTTTCGCTATTGCACAATTTATAGTCGATATACACGGATTCTGCTTGACGCACTGTGATTAGTTAAAATGGAGGTCAACTGTACGCGACCTTGATAAAAATACTTTTAGATTACAATCGAGACCGACAGAAAAATAATAACGCAACGAAATTGTTATCTGATTTTAATTAAATTGGATAAAGCTTCTCATAAAATGCGCCTAATTGACAGCCATAGCTACTACGGTCAACTGGATTGTCCCAGAATCGTGACGAAAAGAAAGTGGAGCTCATGCAACTGACGGCAATTGCCATTTTCAAGTCTGATTTTAATTTAATTGAGCTTTAACCAACCTGGACCCATTTTGACATCGATACAATTTTTTAACACAAGAACAAGTTTAGTAGATTAAGAATAAAAATATCAAGAATTACAATTTAAAATTTAGATTGAATCTGAGTTTTGTCGTTTATGGATGGCGATTGGCACACCAATATCCAAAATTAGTGAACGACTAACTATCCAGTTTACTTTGACATAGACGAAGTTGGAAGTGAAGCAATTTTTCACAGAGGATCACGTAGAAATAAAAGAATAATACATATTTCCATGATCCTTTCTACAAGAAAATATCAGAACCATGTGTCCTTTCAGCATTTAAATTGTTAAAAAAAAACAACATACTTTACAAAACAAAAAAATAATTTATTTGGCATAGCATTGAGGAATTTACAGCTGAGTCGACAGAATGCAGGAGTTATTTATCAGTTATCCGTGGAAGACTTCCGCATCGCTGCTAGATCGGATGATGCCAGGTTACTAACAGTGCAAAAGTAATTCATGACTAGCATGTACAGTAATCTGAATAATAATTTGGTGACAGACATTTTTCGAAAAACAAGTAATTTCTGCAAATCACAATAACTTATAAAAAAAAGATATGTGTGTTGAAAAAAGGTTATATTGCATAAGACAGTAGGCCTAATGAGAGATATATCATAAAATGTCAATTTGATTTATATACATAACGGTAAAAGAGAGTATATGATCACTCGAAAGCAATGTATCAAGTCATGAGGATCATTCTGTTTGCTTGTTTGGTCATTGCAGGTAAGATCAGATTATAATTTTTTTGTTGATCATGGAAGTGACATAATAATATTGTTAATGTTAGTGAACATCGGGTTGTTAAATTTGATTAAAATGTTTTGTTCCGTAATTTGATTCCATTTGCCACGTGTGATCTGACGATATGTTAGGCATCTCATTTACCGGGTCATTTATGTATTGACTATCAATCCTCTTTAAATAGTATTTGATTGGTTAGCATAAATATGAATTATCACAGCCTTTTATGCTATTGGGTCAAAATTGTACAAAAACGAGCGGATATACTGAAGAACATACCCAGTTCTGCATTTCAATCAGATAGCGGGCTGATTTTCGTAAGAGAAATTAAAAGGATTGTAAAGAGGTTTTCTTAACTTTTTATGTGTATGAGGGACACTGATAGCATCAATTTGCACCATTTCAATTTTCATTTCGACGTCTGCGATTCTTGCAATTCCACTAAATCTAACTAGTTTTAGTTGAATTGCAAGAACCACAGACGTGGGAATGAAAATTGGAATGGTGCAAATTGATGCTATCAGTGTCCCTCATACACATAAAAAGTTAAGAAAACCTCTTTACAATCCTTTTAATTTCTCATGTATCATGTATCAGTGTCCCCGATACCCATAAAAAGTTTAGAACATTACGCGCAATCATGGTGGTCTCGGGAAGAGAGTTTCCTCAAAGGAACTCCTCTGATTTGTTGTCAAACTGACCGACTACAAGAAAATCCGATTAATTAGCTGTTAGAAGATTAATGTCAGATTTACGACAAATTAAAAAAAAGTAGAAGATGTGCAACGGGTGGAATCTGGCGAATACTGCGCCGCTTTTTCGACCCTCGGTGCGCTAAGGTCCGGTTGTCAGCAGTGTTGCTCCGACATGCTCTCGACTTGAACATCCTCTATGATTTTAATTCTGTACTCTTAAACATTATCCTGTTTTCCTGTTTAAGAAGAAAATTCAGCAGAATTTAGAAAATCTGAACTATAATATACACAGTCTATAGAAGGAATTTGACATTGAAAACGTAATGATCCTTGTCTACATTTACAGCTCGTGCCAGTGTGGACCCAAAGTGCCCTCCGCCATCAGGAGATGCTGGGTTATGTGTCATCACAGAAGCGAGTTGTTTTCCAGGTCGTCCATGTCCTGAAGGTAATGTCAATCAATCTGTAAATAAAAGGTTTGATATTTTCGTTATCCAATTTTCAATTTTAATATTCCAGCCTCTACAGTATGTAATGACTTTGTTAATTATGTACCAATTAGAATTTCCGAGTCGAAATCTCGAAAGGAAAATGAAATATATAAGTCAATTGACACACGTGTCAAGTCTAACTTTCACCCATCCTTCTTGAATTTAAAAGAATAGACCATGACAGATAAAAAAAAAAGCTAACTAATGTACTGAATGTAATATCAAAGATAGCATATTTTGACAAGGACAGCATTTTTCTGACAAGGATAGCATAGGGTACATTTAAATACTAGATCCGCTTTTGACAAGATTTGATGACAAAGGCATTTAAGACCACAATTTAGATATAAATGATTTATTAATTTTTGTGTTTTCCTTTCCCTCACAGGTCTTGTTTGCTGTCCAGAAGGGTGTGGCTCAATTTGTAAACCACCAGGTAAATTTCTGTAATATTTTGAAGTGAAGGGCTACTTGGCCTGAATTTCTAGAAAAAAAGCTTCTTGATTTTATCAATATGAGCGGCAGATCGGGCTTCAAACCGACGGCATTTTACCATAAATACAGGAACGAACATGTACACTGCATGAAGATATATCGTATAGATCACTGACTGAAATGAAGCAAGGAGATCGATAGTGGTTGACTGTTCTTCGATTTCCAATGATCTTAAACTTAAAGGTATTATAAAGAGGTTTTCTTAACTTTTTACATGTATCGGGGACACTAATCGATTTGCACAATTCCAATTTTCAATCAGACGTCTTTGTTTCTAGAAATCCACTTAAACTTAGACTTTTATCGATATCGCAAAAGCTGCAAAATATCTCATAATAAGGTCTTACGGATAGTTAAGCCACAAAATGCTTATAACTACAGCCGTCCCAGTGAAAATAGAATGGGGCAAATCGATGATATTATATAGCGTTCCTAATATACATAACAAATTAACCTCTTTACAATCCCTTTAAACGCGCATAATCTGTATCATACGGAGCCAATTAACATCGATAGACCATACAGGAATGTATGTATCACGAATAGTATTATAGTCATAAATAAGTATTTCAACTCTATGATTTTAGTAAACATACCAAATCCAAAATGTCCAGTCAATGACAAGTTTGGTCCCTGTGTAATCACCAAAGACAGCTGTTTAAGCGATGTAGACTGTCCTCCAGGTACTAATAAGTAATTCTATTTTTTCATTTTCAATGTTGTATTCAGTATTAATAATAAAAGATGTTTTTTTACAGACAAAGCTTTCACGCTTCTTAATTAGCAATTAGATAATGCTATATTGTGAAATACTTTAAGTTTACCATGCTAAATATTTCACAAACATTTAAGTAATTCTCGTCCCATTCTTTAACTATCATTGCTTAAAATTAATATGCCATGGGACTTCATCACATACGGGACTGTATCACATTGGACTCCTATGGTCCAAGATATTTTTATAGTAAGGTTTTATTTAGTGTATGTGGTACATTTTCATTATAAAATTCAGTGTGGTTCTCCTGTCCATACTAATACAGTTTGTTATTTTGGTTGATCATATTTTACTTAATAGGTCGTTATTGCTGTCCTGATGGGTGTGGTAAAAAGTGTAAAAATCTGGGTATGTATGCTAGTTGTTATATATCGCAAGCAAGTACTACTCCAATACAAGATTTTGAATATTTAATTTCAAACCGTAAACACATTTTACACATAAAAATTATAATTCCGAAAACTATAAGCTGGACATATAGTATACAGAAATCGAAGTGATCAGCGTTTTCCCTCGGAATTTTGGTTCTCTTTTGTGGTTTGGTTTTTGTATAAATATATATTTTTTGTTATACGTGCGTATTTAATCCAGTTTTACATACTCTCTTGTTGTTAACGTCAATATTAAATAACACGAAGGCATGGGTATGATTGATGACTGAAATAATTGTCTGTTTATGAATTAAAAAGAATAAAAACTCTTAAAAACTCATAAATGTACATTTGACAAGGTGTTTATTCAATGTAGATTTGTCAAGAGACAAGGGGAAATTTAAATATAAGTTTAATAACTGCGATAGATCTCAGATGTGAACATAAGTAGCGGCGCGGGTGAGGGGCATTTGCCACCTAGAAAAATGGTTTGCCCCCACTCTATATCTAACAAAATTAAAAATGTGATTTCTTCTTTAACGTTTTGGTCCAAAATATGTGTCAGAATGCACCAAATTAATTTTTCATTTTTCTTGTGGGAGTACCCGCCCAGACGCTCCGTGTGAGCTGTCGCATTTTTATATATATTATATTTCTCTCGTTATCATATTGCTATATTTCTCTCGTTACCATATTCCTATATATCCCTCGTTATTATATTTCTATATTTCTCTCGTTATTATATTCCTATATTTCTCTCGTTATTATATTCCTATATTTCCTCGTTATTATATTCCTATATATCCCTCGTAATAATACAAATATGTTCTTATATTCCTCTCGTTACCATATTCCTATATATCCCTCGTTATTATATTCCTATATTTCTCTCGTTATTATATTCCTATATTTCTCTCGTTATTATGTTCCTATATATCCCTCGTTATTATATTCCTATATTTCTCTCGTTATTATATTCTTGCATATCCCTCCTAATAATACAAATATGTTCTTATATTTCTCTCGTTATCATATTCTTATATTTCTCTCGTTATTATATTCCTATATTTCTCTCGTTATTATATTCCTATATATCCCTCGTTATTATATTCCTATATATCCCTCGTTATCATATTCCTATATTTCTCTCGTTATCATATTCCTATATTTCCCCCGTTATCATATTCCTATATTTCTCTCGTTATCATATTCCTATATATCCCTCGTTATCATATTCCTATATTTCTTTCGTTATTATATACCTATATTTCCCTCGTTATAAAATTAGTCTAGCTAGTGTCTTGATTATTATTTTTGAGGCCTACTTCAGAAACCTTTTCTATTTTTTGAGGCCTACTTCAGTAACTTTTTCTATTTCTTCAGCCAAATAATTTTGATAGAAGGAAAATTGTGATTAAATATTTAACTGACTAAATAATTGCTAAATAATCTTGTGCCTTTTATATTGCAGTATGTCCACCAGTTTGTGCAATTTATTGTCCGAATGGTAACGTTCTTGATAAAAACGGATGTCCAACATGTCAATGTAAAGGTAACTGTGTTGGATTATTGTGATATTATAGGAGAACTTATAAAGGTCTTCTAACCAGATGAAACACACCTCAAGTTTGTGTAAGACTTTTCCTAGCTCATAAAACATACTTCTAGTGCAAACGCATTTGTGTCTAATGTATATTAGGAACGCTATATAATATAATCGATTTGCCCTATTCTATTTTCACTGGGACGGCTGTAGTTATAAGCATTTTGTGGCTTAACTATCCTTAAGACCTTATTATGAGATATTTTGCAGCTTTTGCGATATTGATAAAAGTCTAAGTTTAAGTGGATTTCTAGAAACAAAGACGTCTAATTGAAAATTGGAATTGTGCAAATCGATTAGTGTCCCCGATACATGTAAAAAGTTATTATATTCCTATATATCCCTCGTTATCATATTCCTATATTTCCCTCGTTATTATATTCCTATATATCCCTCGTTATTATATTCCTATATTTCTCTCTTTATCATATTCCTATATTTCTCTCGTTACCATATTCCTATATTTCTCTCGTTATCATATTCCTATATTTCTCTCGTTATCATATTCCTATATATCCCTCGTTATTATATTGTCATATTTCTCTCGTTATTATATTGCTATATTTCTCTCGTTATTATATTCCTATATATCCCTCGTAATAATACAAATATGTTATTAGATTTCTCTCGTTATCATATTCCTATATTTCTCTCGTTATCATATTCCTATATTTCTCTCATTATCATATTCCTATATTTCCCTCGTTATTATATTCCTATATTTCCCTTGTTATAATATTCCTATATTTCCCTAGTTATTATATTCCTATATATCCCTCGTTATTATATTCCTATATTTCTCTCGTTATTATATTCCTATATTTCCCTCGTTATTATATTCCTATATATCCCTCGTTATTATTTTCCTATATTTCTCTCGTTGTCATATTCCTATATTTATATATAGAGGGAGAAAATTGCCCTTATGGTTCACAATGTGCCGCTTACTAAATAAACTTGTGCCTTTTATATTGCAGTATGTCCACCAGTTTGTGCAATTTATTGTCCGAATGGTAATGTTCTTGATAAAAACGGATGTCCAACATGTCAATGTAAAGGTAACTGTGTTGGATTATTGTGATGTTATAGGAGAACTTATATAGGTCTTCTAACCAGATGAAACACACCTCAATTGCAGTCGCGTTTGTGTTCATTTGTGTAAGACTTTTCCTAGCTCATAAAACATACTTCTAGTGCAAACGCATTTGTGTTCATTTGTGTTTATTTATGGAAGACTTTTCCTATCTTACGAAACATACCTCAAGTGCAATAGCATTTGTTTTCAGTCGTGTAATATTTTTCCAATGTTATAAATCACACCTCAAGTGCAATCGCATTTGTGTTCATTGAGGAATTAATTGTTCTCTTTTTCATTCAGCTTGTCCGAACGTACTTTGTTACATGTATTGTGAATATGGTTTTGAACGCAATGAAGATGGTTGTGAAATCTGCAAATGTAAAGGTAGAGCCTACACTATTAGTTCTTATTTTGATATCTAGATTATTACTAGGCCTATTAATGTGCCTTAGTCAGCTATGATTCGATGCATAAAAGTCGAACAAAAACTTTCGTTCCATTTTTTTTTTTAGCTTTTATATTTAATATAGCCACTTCAGTTAGGGTCTAACGAAACGCGTCAAATTAACCTTTTGACCTAAACTGGTAAACATTGCGTCACAAAATGTCAGCGCTGAACAGACGGCATCAAGTTAGGTCAAAAGGTTAATTTGACAAACGTTCAGGGTGACTGTCGTTAGACCATAACTTAAGTGACTAATAAAAAAAAACCGAACGAAAGTTCATTCTGTTTTATTCGAAGATCTATTGATCTTTTTAGAAAATAAAGGATTATGATGAGTCTCATATTAGAATTTTTCCGCATTATAATATACCACTACCATAATCATCTTTAAAATGCAAATATTGTGTCCTGTTCATCCACAATGAAAGGAAACACAATGACGAACCCTCATCCGTTTCAGTATTCAAACCGTCAATAAATCCCAAATTACAAAATTTATCATATTACAAAAATTATCATTTAGACACACCATGTAAATACGGTGCCACGCCAATTAGAAATTCTGTGAATGAACTAGTAAAATGTAAAGTAGGCAAATATGGTTGTCCCAAAAAAAATACAGAATGTACAGCCACCAATAACGCAGTAAATGATGTATGTTGTCCGAGTAAGTGACTTTATTTGGATTATTATTTATGTTATTCTTATATTTTTTTATATTACTATCAATTGCAACCAATTCTGACTACATTAAAGACCATTGTTCACTATAATCGGGGGCTGATTTGGATCTTGAATATGTAAATAGTCTCCAGAAGTACCAGAACTGCACAAACATCGCATAATCCCTTCAAATATATCTCAAACTAGAAATTTTCTCATCATTTTGACTTTCAAACTTTGACACAAAAGTGGTTTTGAAGACTCAAATTTTGACTGAGCTTTCCGTTTCCGAGACAAAGGTACAGTTTGTCAAAAGGATAGTGAACTGTCCCTTTAAGATGTTATATTTAAAAATGCAAACATTTTCCAGCATGTTCACCAGTCCTATGTAAACTGTATTGTAAACATGGTTTTAAAGAGGGAAAGGATGGTTGTGAAATATGTGCTTGTAGAGGTACGTTTAAATTCGAGATGCTTGCTCAATATGTCTATGAGTGCCATAATGCATTTCCATATGATTAAATGATATGGAACTTGTTAGCTACACGAAGTAGCTCCAACCATCATTAATCAAGGTAATGCTAATTTTAATCTTTCTGATTTGATTTTGCGAATACTTCCACGGTCCATTATCGACGGGACAATTTTATACCGTGAAAAATAATTCGTCCCAGCATGGATGCTTAAAAGTACCATAATTTGTGCGAGGACAATTTTCTTTGGCCAGAAGAACCACCCAATTCAGATAGTGGAAGTTCTTTTCATTTTTTCCAGAATGTGATCCCGTCAGATGTAAAATATACTGTAAATATGGATATAAAGTTGATAAGAATGGTTGTGAATACTGTGGATGTAAAGGTAAATATTACTCATATTTCATGACCTTTTTCAGCAGATTTTGTTTATTGTAAATGGTACACACATTGTGCTACCTATTACCCTGAGAAGTATTTGTAGTTCACGAGTTACGCCCCCTATATACTGAAAACAGTAAATAATCGAATACAACACCCTTTCTTAATAGCAGAAGACCTCAATTATGCGTGATTTTGGTGGTGGTAATAATTTATTAAATTCCATGAAATGAATTGCTAAAAGCTGCCGCATTAACGAGAAAGGAGAACTTAATTGGATTCATTGGTTACGCTAATGCTTTCTAAAAGATAATATTTGAAGATAAATCAAACACTTTTATTTTCTTGACGAAACTTCAATTTTAATGATCTCCCCTGGCCATGACTATTTTGTAAATTCCCATTTATTTGTAGAAACACCATGTGGATATGGTGCTCTGCCTGCAAGTGACACACATGGAACACATATAAACTGTGGACGAGAAGGAACTCCTTGTCCCAATGGTACCAGTTGCGAGATAGAACCCAATGATCGATATGCTGTCTGTTGTCCAGGTAGGGCGTTTAATTAAAAATGTGCCAAGTAGCATAGTAGCCTCTATCATCCAGCCCCTCTATATCTATGCACAGTTGCGACAATCCTCAAACAGGAGAAGTCTGGGCGTCAGAGGTAACCCATTCAGATGTCAGGTAAAGGGAAGGGCCACTTTTTACAGATGTATAATCCTAGAACGCTGTTGAAATCATATTTTAGGTTGTTTTTAAATCTAAATCGATACTTTCATTGGCTAGTGTTTTTTATCGATTTTCAATGGTCGTTTTATTCGTTCTTGCAGATTGCAAAGCTATTTGTTCAAGGCTATGTTTATACGGATTCAAACTGAAAAATGGTTGTCCAACGTGTGAGTGCAAAGGTATGCAGCATTACGTAAGACAATATATATATATATATATATATATATATATATGTTTATATAATTATAATAATGATCTGTCCATCAATGTTGTTCCTCTGGATCTTAAAAATGTTCAATAGCCTAGCTTAGAGTTATGCCTGCTAAATTGATGTAGATAGTTATATGTAACTCGCTCCTTACTTTTTTTTACAGTTTTCAATACTCAGCTCTTTAAAGATGACATATGGTAGTGATTTACAATTTAATGTGCAAGCATTTCAATCGCTGTTGTATTTTGTTATTGTGTTACACCAACTTAATTGGATTATGTTTTCCAATATTACTCTGTATATTTAAATTTTGTTTGATTAGAAACGCCATGTGGACATGGACTCCTGCCATTGACAAATGTGTTAGGTAACACTGTAACATGTGAGCGTGATGAATCCCGGTGTCCTCAAGATTCCAGGTGTAAAGCCAGCGATTACGGAAAATATGCAGTTTGCTGTCCATGTATGTTTTATTCTTTTGACTTTTTTTATGTTATTGTCATGTCCATGGTGTTTTTTTCTTATTCTTGCACAATCAATTCTGGATCTTCATTTCTTAAAGTCCCGTCACACCGTCACTGCGACCATTTACGATTACTTGGACGCCGGTTAACTTAAACAAATAAAAGTCCTATAGAATTGTAAATTCTATAACAATCTCACTCATATTGCTATATATGCGACAATACTGCGTCTCCAAGGCACATTTCTAATAAAATCTACGGGCTTGGTGCATTTAACTGTCACGACGCTTGTCTAAAGACATTATCGATTCCATGGGGATCTCAACAGCGATTATTGGAAACAAACGATATTTGACGCTTCCTATGCACTAATGTTACGCTCACGGCGACCTAAATACGCTCTGAGCATCTTAAGTGGCTTTTAGTAATTGGCCAATAAATAACTGGACACAATTATATGGATAACAATTACTTTAATAAAATATCTTGCGTCTTGCAAATTACTTGATAAATACGGAAGAACCTTCGCCGAAACTTTGCAAAATATTTTATTAAAATAACTGTTATCCATAAAATTGTGTTACGCTCTGAGCTAATTGTCCGTCGCGGTAGCGACTCATTAAAGACACCTTTCCGGTGTGACAATGCTATTAGTCAGGAAATAAATATTCAATAGCCTTCAATAAAAAATGATGGTTGGCATTCTACCATTAGAACAATTCAAAAACATTAGAAAGTCGTATTTAGTCGTATTGATTATACTTATTTATTGTTTCTGTAAACTTTGTTGTTTTCCCATTAAGATTGTCCACAAGTACCATGTGATTTAAAGTGCCCACTTGGATATAAAGTTGATAAAAGAGGCTGTGAAATTTGTTCTTGTAAAGGTAAGGAATACATTTTGAAATTCTATATCATACTTAGCAGCCGAACACACAACTCTATTTGGTTACAGCAGTAATTGTTATGCCTTGAAAATCTTTTTTTCTCTCTTTAAATAATGTTTTCAATTTTATAAATTCTACTTCTATTATATTTTCCGTTTTTGTACAGCAGTTTAAAAAAAAACGCTTCGTCGTTCTGGCTATTGGTGGCTTACGACTCATTCAGTGGGAAAAATACGAAATGTTTTTCTACCTGCCTAATGTGACGATCTCTCCAGGAGAATAACTTACCTTGCTGTATGCTTAAGTGCCAATACATAAATTGTACGCGGTTTGTTAATTAGTAGGCATTCAAAGCCAAAATCTCAAAGTTTTGTTTTAAATTTGGTAGAATAAAGGATAAATAAACATTTCTAAATTCACTTTCTGAAATCAATGGTACATATTCTTTTGTTTTGTTTCAGAGTGTTCTAAAATAATGTGTGATCTTCACTGTCAATATGGATTTAAACGAGATAAAAATGGATGCGAAATCTGTGAATGTCAAGGTGCGTATTAACACATTTATATAATTTAGGCAATTAGATTCAATAAAACCAAAAAGCCATCGTGCTAAATTGACAAATCGTGCCATAGTATCAGAAAAGGGAATTTGTTTTTAGCGAAGCCAGTCAGTTTATAGTGTTCACAGCTCACCGTCGAAATTTGAGCTTTCAAATGTGTCCAGAATTATCTGAGTTTGAAAATTTAAATGACGACTCGTGTCTTCCTGATACTATATAAAATTGCTAGTTTGAGATATATTTGAAGTGCCATTTTTGTACAGAAAATGACGAATCATGGCCTTTAAGATACAGAACACAGAGTAACCTTCTGAAAATTTTATTTTACAGATTCACCGATTATACCTCACAACTGTAAGTTCTCAGCATAGCTGCATATTATACTGAACCGCTTTGCCAATTTACTCCCCCCGCCCCCCTCTTCCTATATTTTAAAAGAGACTGTTGGTATTCACACCATTGCATTCTTAGTGGGGTATCGCAAAGACATGGTTATGGGGTGACTAATCCACAACCTGAATTTTAATGGAATTTGTCATCCACAAAGATTTCTGTAATTATTTCTACGAGCCACATACAAATTAAATTTATAGTGAACAAATTCCATTCTTGGCTACATTTATTATAATATATCGTCAATAATTTGATATATTGCAGTTGGGTGTCCAACTCCACCATCAAGATTCTTGGTCAAGTGTAGTTTGCACAATGATAACTGCAACTCCAATTTTGATTGCCCGAATGGTAAATTATGCTGCAATAATCCTTGTGGTAGATATTGTTCAGATCCAGTGCCTATTAAAGACGGTAATATGTTTATGTTTATGTTTAACGAAACTACTTCAATCCAGATTTGAGCTTTTGCCAACACCTTTTTATCCTTTTCCACACGTCTAATGATGCTTGTTTGCTATTACACGTGATCAAGAATTGTCCCGACGTCATTATTTAATTTATTGGCTCTCTGAGTCTTCAGTCCAAAACCCCCATTGAAGTTGATGTCCGGAACAGATGATATTTTCCGATGATCTTCTCCAAATAACTCACAGAGCTAATATTATTTATTTTGGTATTTTAAATACATTCCAACTGTTTATTGTGGTTTTCACGTATTCTAAATGTTATCTTATTTTAAGCTGTTCTACGAGTTTTGGGAATCGCAGAACCTACTGAGAAAAATGCTAAAATCCAAATTTAATGTTTCAGGATTTTGTCCTGCTCAACCTGACCCAACCTTAGTTGACTGTGCTTCACTTCGAGATAATTGCTATGTAGACAGTGATTGTCCTGATTTCAGGAAATGCTGTCCTACTTCATGTGGTAACTTCTGCCAGGCTCCAAGTCCTAAACCTGCTGATAATCCAGGTATAACTTTAACATACTTACTTTTAGCTAATCAGTAACAGTGTTCACAGCTTACTGTTGAAATTTGGGCCTTCCAATGCACGTGTGTCCAGAATTATCCTTGTATGAATGTAAAAATAATGACCAGTTATTTCTTAAGACTCTCATATAAAGACAAAACATATATTAGAAATAGAAAGAGAAATTCTTAGTTGAGGTATATCTGAAGGAATTATGCGATTTTTGTACATTTCTAGTACCTCTGAAGACTCTTTACACATGTTTAAGACCCAAATCAACCCCCTAAAATTGCGGAACTTTCCCTTTAAGCTATACATGAAAAACAAGTACACCAAAACGATGATTTTCGAAAATCAATGTAAATATTTGTTAATTGTAATGATATACATGATAATAACACTCTAATTCATAAATATTCTTTCCTTCAAGGTGTCTGTCAATACGTACCACCTTTAGCACAATGCTCGAATTTTCAAAATAAAAGAAAATGCGACGCTGATTTCGAATGTCCCTTTTATGAGAAATGCTGTGAAACAAAATGTGGTAAACTTTGTTTAGAATCTGAACGATTGGTTATAAATCCAGGTAAATTGAAATTCTATAATTAATAAGTAGCCTTCTCCTTTCTCCACCAACGTATCGTCTGAATACAGTATAGTACCTTCCTTTTTCGTTCCAGCCGAATGATAGGTTATTATTTCTTACTAACCCAAAAAGGGAAAAAGACTATCGGATTGCCTTTGGAGCTTGTTTTGCGTTTGATAATCGATAATCAAATCGCTCCCCTGTCCAGCGCTGGGATTTTGTGACAGGGACAAAAGTTATAGTCCGGGAAGCATTAGACACTGAATGCATCTTTGGTTCGCGTCACAAAATTGTTATAGAGGGAAGAAATTTGATTGGCTGGTGGTGCCATCAAAGAATGTAAAAGAGGCATTAACTGAAGTGTCTAAAAATAACTAATTTCTTTAAGACTAGATACCAAAGAGGCATTAGAAAGGAATTGTTCAACAGCCGTTAACAATTCTTTCTGACACAGTAATAATTTGCTCATTATTTTTATCACAGGTGATTGCCCAAAACCGGACAAAAATATTGTTATTTGCCTCATTTACCAAAAGAAATGTAACCAAGACGGTAATTGCCCACCAAATCAAAAATGTTGTGATAATAAGTGTGGTACGAGATGTCAGGAACCACTTCCTAAACAAGGTAAAGTGCAACTTTAGAATTAAGTAAAAAATTTTAACACCATTCTATAGCGAATGTCGGAAGCGAGTTGGATTGTCGCCTGCTAGGCGATTAGGTGCCTTGGGTTTGAATTATCCTCAAAGTGGGAAAAAATCTGATGCCTGTGCCTGTGCTACCGAGAGTGGGCTTTTGCGCCCTAATGCCTAATATTAATACTTAGTTCAGCAAATGTTATAGTTATCTCAAGCTGACCGCGATCGCAATATTCTGTTTCATATAACCTTAGAAATGATATGATGCACGCGTCAAGCGAACAAGGTTTCGTTGTAGATCGCTTCTTGCATTTGCAGGCTTCATAACAACCTTAATTGCAACCTTTGTCAAGTCTGAAGTTCCGTTATAAAGGAAATTATGCCTTTTCATTCCTACATTTATCGTTTACCATTATATATTTAAAGGTCAAAAGTTTATTTTAAATATGTAACTTTCAATTTAGCAGTAACAGTCGGTCATAAAATTATGTTTCTGACGCATGTATCAATTTATTATCTTTTCAAGTAATTTCTCGTGATATAAATGTGTTTCTATTTTGATTGATTGTAGGGAAATGTCCAAACGTTGTAAAGTGTGCTACATCAGATGAATGTGTGAATGATCTACAGTGCCCTGGAAATGAACTTTGTTGCGCTGCCTCAGGTTGTAGTCGAACATGTGTTGATCCTGAAATAGCTTTAATCAAACCAGGTATTTACATTTACACTGAGAATTGACATATTTACTGTCAATTTATTTTCTTCACACTGAGATATTACCATCTTTACTGTCAATTGACATTATTATATCCTTAGAATTGACACATTCACTGTTAATTTAATTTCCACTGAGAAATTGTCACCTTGCTGTTACTTTACGTAAAAAGAGTTTCCACATTTACTGTTGATTTACATTTACACTGAGAATTCCCACAGTAATTGTCAATTTGCACAATTACTGTCAATTTTAATTTACAATGATCATTTCCATCATTTACACTGTAATTTAACACATTTACTGTCAATTTATGTTTACACTGGAAATTGAAATGTTGTGATTATCCTTGCGATAAACGATGCGACCTTGTTAGACCAATAAATGGTAAATATTTTAACAACGTTGCAAAGCACAAAACAACCGCTAGCGGCGTGGCTCTTACACATAGGAAAACGTATGATTAATTTCTGCTCAGTTACACAAATCAATGAAATCTAATTTGTACCCTAAAGTTTCTTAGGTTGCTAGATGGGTAGTTTACTGATAGACAATGTATCTAATTTCAAGGTACGTGTCCAGTTCCACCCGATCCATCAGCAGTCCTGTGTTCTATTGACTCTAAAGATGAATGTACCAATGACAATGACTGTCCTATTGATCTTAAATGTTGTAAACATCCTTGTGGTAAAAGATGCGATCTTGTTCGACCAAAACCAGGTAAGTATCTAACACATGCTTTCAAAATTGAACCTTTAACCAGATACGTTTGAGAAACAAGTTTATTTTTATATTTTAAAGCGGATATATTAACGTTTCTTCTTAAAGTAGAAAACACCATCGTTGCATGTGCTTTTAGTGCTTAAATCTTACCTTATCCAGCAGTTATATTGGGTTCTGTTGATTTCCGTTGGGAGGGAAATTTATTGATCATTGATTCAGACATTCCAATGTCTCATCTTAAAGAAACAGAGGCTTCTATTGACGCCGTGGTAAGTGATTATTCATTTTTATATTCGTTATCAGGTGTGTGTCCAGTTCCACCTCAACCATTAGCAGTCCTGTGTTCTATTGACTCTAAAGATGAATGTACCAATGATCGCGAATGCCCTATTGATCTTAAATGCTGTGATCATCCATGTGGCAAAAGATGCGATCTTGTTGAACCAAAGCCTGGTAATTATATAACAACTTGTTAATGTGCTCTTCATAAAAAATGCAAATCTTTGAGATCATCTTTCAGTTTGACATTAAAAGATACTAAATCAGCACATTTTTGGGGAATTAAAAATCTTAAGTATATGGATATAGATGAAACTGAATAATAAGCTTAATTTCAGGAATGTGTCCAGTTCCACCTCATCCATCAGCAGTCTTGTGTGCTATTGACTCTAAAGATAAATGCTCCAATGATCATGACTGTCCGATTGATCTTAAATGTTGTAATCATCCTTGCGGTAAAAGATGCGATTTGGTAAGACCAAAACCAGGTAAGTATCTAACACATTCTATCAGGGGTAAACTTTTAAACCAGATATAATTATCATTGATTCAAATATTCCAATGTATCTTCTGATAGAAGCAGAGACTTCTTCTGACACGTTGTATGTGCTGATTCATTGTCATATTCATCATCAGGTATGTGTCCAGTTCCACCTCGTCCATCAGCAGTCCTGTGTTCTATTGACTCTAAAGATGAATGTACCAATGATCGTGAATGTCCTATTGATCTTAAATGTTGTAAACATCCGTGTGGTAATAGATGCGATCTTGTTGAACCTGGTAATTATTTTATTAATGATAATGATACTAGAGAGATATGTCTAACTGAAAAGAGTTTTAGGCTATGATGAACTGATAATGAAACTCATTCTATTACTGTAAGAATTCGTCGTAAGGCTGTCCAACATTGGAAGTATAACCATTGCTAGAACAATTTGATTTTTTCCAAAAACAATTATTTCATCTGCACTGTATTCGCATTTACCATGTATTTTTAATACCAAGCAGAAAGGGCGGTACTTAGCGAGATCAAAATGTATAATTAAGTATACATCTTTTTTTAGCCTTATTTAGTAAATTTAGTCTTTGATTTGAATAAGCCTAATTCGTGACCAGATTATCGAGTGAATTATCATGTTAAATTCAACCTCGATAGTTAGCTCTACTGACAAAAATGAGTCAACCAATTTTTTTTTCACAGGCTCTACGACAGAAGAAGATTCGTCAAATGATTCGGACTGGTCTGCAGATTCATCAGCTCTTTCCTATTCAGAGGAATTCGATTCAGCACATGCATACTCAGAGGAATATGGATCAGAATCCGACACGTCTGAATCCGAATCAACAGAATATTTAGATCCAGTTGATACCAAGAAGAGAGCTATGAAAGAATCTAATATTCTTTAGACTTAAATATGAAATGATAATAAAAAAATCAATCAATTAATGTTTTATGTTTTAAATGGTTACCAGGATGCTGAAGTCATTTCCAACTGTCAAGGGATCTGTCACCAGTTTCACCCGAGGAGCTTATAGCACGGCACATGCCTGATTTGATTTCATATTATGATACTAACTTCTATCTTTATTCAAGTTATCTAATAAACAATGATTGAATAGCTATGACGGGTGTGGCGCCAGGCAGGGTATTCTAACTCTTCTATACTGATACGATTTTTCATTATGAAATACCTACTTATTATGATAGATGTACTTTTTCGTGCTACCAACGTTTTTCCACTATATTGTTTTGGATTTCTGGTTTCGTTATGCAGTTCGGATCGTTAGTACTTGGTTTATTTATTCAGCAGTGAACCACCATAACTATTGTCTAGTATTTTTCATAACGACAATTTTGAGGGTTGCCTCCCTTGTATTATAATAAATACCAACACGTTAAGAAAGCAGCTTTGTAATATCTCGTTCTCTGTACTTCGTGTACATGATCAAGAATAGATGTGCAGTGATGCCTGTTGGAATTTTTCATAGCTATAGATCGTTGGCGGTTCAAATTCACAACGAAGCCTCAGATCTTTAATGTCCATCCAACTTGCTTTGAATTTCCTTGAAAGATCTTGAAAGTGGGTATTTTATCCGACTAGAATTATACTGTCTCCAGTAATCAGTTAAGTTAAAGGACCGACTCCGGTTATTTATTTGCCATCTGTTTCCATGTTTAATATCGAAATTCAATCTGACATCTCGTTGAAAACTTTCCAATATGTCACATGAAAGCCTGGCCAATGCTTAGTTTCTGGACAAAAAATAAATATATCATGACCATGAAAATCTCGAGCTAGCCAAATTGAAAGTAAACCACAAAAGACTGTCACTGCAATATCTTGTCCTCTGTACTTCGTGTACATGATCAAGAATAGATGTGCAGTGATGGCTGCTGGAATTTTTTATATCTTTACATCGCTTGTGGTTCAGATTCAGATCGGAGCCTCAGATCTTATCTTTCTGGATAAAAAGACTGTCTCTGCCCAAAAAAACACTATTTTAAGAATTATCATTCCGCATGAAAATCGTCCCATCATCTCATAAAATCTGAGATCACCAAATAGCCCCTCGTTCAATATTTGTACTACCCCAAGCCTGTTCATTTGGTAGAAGAAAGTCGTGGTTGAAGTAAAATATTCAACATAAAAAAGTTTCAAACGTGACATAACACGACAGTAGTAGTCGCCATTTAATGCTTAGCAATTATCAGATTTTCTATTGGATTATTTTAACAGTTGTTCACATCACGATATAAGATACTTAATAACTAATGTTTATACCCCTTGGGTAATCTGATGGTACCCGAGAAGACCTAACAATGTTGAAATACGCTGTGGTTCTAATTACTGTTTGCAAGGCTGCTCTTCAAGCAACGCACGGCGGCGTCATCTCATCAAATGACAGAGAAAGCCTCTAACTGTGGAATTCTAATTAAGGGTTGGTTTTTCAGAATATGGAAGATGGTTTCAGGTCAGAATGAAGTACAGTATAATGAGAAGGATGCCCCTGGGTACCCGTGATTCACTCATTTGATCTGCACTGCTTTAATGAGAGAAACGAATGAAGCTTATTTTACGTACAAAATGGCAATTGATAGTAATGCAGAAGTCAAAATTATTCATTAACCTTTCTCCCTTGGACCAATGGTTCGACCATGGTTCGACCATTGGTTCACTACATAATTGAAATATCTCACAATTCTCTTTAAATATCTGTTTATATCCTCTGGTATTTGTGCAGTTCCTTCTCTTTTAAGTGATTTTATGATAAATATTTAATTTCATGAACCGATCAAGTGGTTTTGTTTTATAGATATTTCAATTATTCTGTTTTAAAAGCTAATTCTACTCTGCAATAATATGGTTTGACACTGCGGTTAGGGAAAAAGTTGAGGTTCTGCTACTTATTCTGCTATAGCGATATGAACTAGAAATTAAATGTTATCTAGTTGTATTATAATATCTCTTGTTTTTCAATTATATCCTCCATAATATTGTCAAGCCGGCTCATATCAGCATTTTGCCTAGCGACAGACAGGAATGAGTCAGAAAAAAATCGGATTAAGGAATATTAGCTTAATGAACATATTCCACAGACGATAACAAAGCTACGACTCAATAGAACGTTTACACAAGCAATTACAGTACAGGCATTTCATAGCAAGCACTAGACGGAATCAGATTATTTTATTCCTGCAATTTTCTGACGGCCAATATTGGATAATTAGCTTGGAGATTTTCTCTTTGATGTCTGGATAATGATATTATATTTAATTGAACCTTATCAAAAAGGAGGTTTACATAATTGTTGTCTATCAAACAAGTTCAGACAAATAGTCTGTAATAGCTGTACACTATTTTGTACTCTTTCGATTTGAAATCAAATGAAGCTATTAATGAAGTTGTCGGTCTGTTCGAAGCATGAGTCATTAAGCCATTCCAGCAAAACACGATTTAAAGGAATACTAACTCTTAGAATGGTCATAAAAAGTCTCAACCTTGGCCAAGTGGCACTAACCAGGTGTCAGGAATAGAATCTGCATATAACATCATATATCCATTAAACTAAATAATTATTGAAACACGCTTCTAAGATTTAGTTTAATGGATTATAGAGGGATTCTGTTGTATAGATTTGACACCAGGTAGGTCCACCGATGAACAAGGACTCAAAAGGTTAAGTTTAAACGTTTCAATTCATCTAAGAGGCGAGGATTAGTCTTTGAAACATCAATATCGCCTTTCTAGGCCTTTATAAACAAATAAACAAAACAAGAAATATACAATTGACAACATAAACGACATATTTTTGAAAATTTTCAGTCTCTGGCTTACTCTTCCTCATTTGTAATGTTACATACTGCTTTTGTGACTGTTTTCATTTACTTTCATCAGTTCTTAGCATTAATTGATATGTCTTTTGTATCGGGAGAAATGACTGAAAAGTTATGAATTACCAATCACAAGCTAGCATTTTCCAGCTTGAGTTTTACATCCAGCTGGGTGACACTATAATTGGCTTTTAGTTTCAGAAGTTCGGAGTATTAATTGATACAACTCTGATTTCTTCCGCATCATCAAGTGTTCAGTTGTTCTTTGTTAAAAGTTCGAAATTATACTGGTCACGTGATAAAGAATTATCCAATAATTAAAAGCAGCCATAGTGTTAATTAAACTGTTCTGTTCAAGAAAATAGGATTATTCCTGGAATAATTATCAGGTTTCCTGTGATCACTTGAGATAACATCCAATAATTCCCAAGCTTTAAAATAAAGAGGGATTTTAAGGAAGCTGAACTGAATTTAAAGTGTTTCGCAGGAAGGCAAAGACCCCATAGAACTACTTGTGTTAATACTTCTACTCTCCTGTTATCGATGATTGAAGCTTTAACACTTCTAAAAACAAATTGCTTTTGTTGGCATATTGCTTGGTCAGAGATCAAACAAACGTGCATTGTGTCCAGAACAGTTTTGACTCATTGAAGAAATCAAACAAAATGTAATAGAGACAATATTGAAGGATTGGGAGAAAATCTAGAACGTGCATTAGAAGCTCTGGTTGACGAACACTTGTAGTCAATAATGTTAAGCTTAATATCGACCTCTGGTTGCTGGGTTATTCTAAAAGAAAACTTGATCAAAGAAAGAGTGACACCGATTCCGTTCTTTCAACTGACAAAATCTGAACTGGGTGTCTCTGTTGATGACAAATCCATTATCTCTTAATGTGACGATAAACGAAGCATGCATTAATCAAATAGCACATTTCAAAAAGAATTTCATTAAATACGACGCTTTAATTTGATAATTCTTAAGATGCTAATGAGGCTGGCACGTGCATTGGTGATAACAATTGTGTGTGTGAACTGAGACGAAGGAATGGTGAATCATTTGATTAAGTTCTGGAATCTCGGTAATTTTAGCTCTATTATGTTGGAATGATGCTCTTTACACCAACATCACACTTCCTAAAAAGAGTTATTGAAATTACTTGGTGAAATCATTACAACCCTGTTTTTTTGTTTCTATATAATGTGTAATATGGAGGGTAATGATTAGATTGCATGATCAACTGTTATTGTACTTTTTTTAAGGTTAGTTATTAACATGTCTTGAAACAAAATCAGAAACTTAAATATCTTCAGTTAGTCTTGGACATCTTTGACACGTTTTATTAGTTTTTCAGCCATGTTTTTCAAATGAATGTAATGGCCTAAATGAAGAACGATTTTCAGTTAAATTTTAAAGCTGATATCCCAAATAAAATAAATGGTAAAAGTCATTAGGTAAGACTGTTAGGTATGGTACATTTTGTGTATATATTATTTTCACTTAGTCCAAAGAATGATAACGGAAATTTACCTTTATAAATTTAATTCTGAGGCGCCAGTCTCCTGGAAGTTGGGGTACAAATAGCGATAAAACTGACCCTCTGCAACCTTACTCTTGCCTCCACTGTTGATATATACCTGTATGTAATAATAAACAGAACCTAAAAACCTGAAGTTACAACGTGTATGCATGCTTGGCATTCCCTTTCGTGTTAGGTATTAATGCAACATGTAGTGAAACCATACAGTTAATTTATTTTGAAATCTTCTATAAGCTCAATGTTTTAATAAGGCACCAAGTAGCATTTGTCCGGATTTGTACAGTGAGACATAATGGCGGATAAAATGATTGAAATGGTTTTTGTTTCAACTCGAACTCCTTTCTGATTAAGTTTGGTAATGAAGTAAAAATTACAATCAATAATCATGTATTGGGGAATAATGAAATGAAACCATATTTTAAGTCTTGACGAGCCGACCTGAAACCTCTCGAGTTGGACATATTGTCTTGTTAAAACATGATTCATTTCCTGATAACTACTTGATGAGCTAGATCCATATTTCTCGTGTTGTTTTAAGTTAATCATTAAAGCTTGTATTGGAATTCCACGG